TATTATCTCAATTTAAGTTTGATTATGTTAAAATGAAATAGAATGTCAGTCAACACTTATAACAAGCTATTCATTTCACATACAACAATATAATATAGAATTCAACTCTTAAAACAAAATCGATTATGCACCTTAAAATAGGTACCAAAATCTTTCATGTTTGTATTCTTTTCATTAAGGAATGACTGTTATATTTTTTCTGTCTATGAAGAAATAACATCAAAAATGTGGTGCACACTGAATAACTCGCGTAGCGGGTTATTTTAAAGTGTGCACCACATTTTTTATGTTATTTCGAATAGACAGAAAAAATATTCCAGTCATTTCTTATAATTTAATTCTAAATTCCATTTTAAACCGGAGTAAACCATGAAAAAACATTGATGACGTCACGGTCACATGACAAAATTATGTCTATGAGCTGATAAACAAAACAACGTCAGCCAATCAGAAGATGTGTTACATCCAAAATTAAATTACTACTTTATACACCATATAATTCCTACAAAAGACCTGTTGGTATGCATAAAAATTGTTATTATATTTCTTGTACTCAATATGGATATGTTCACAATGCCACTATTAACACCTTTTTCACAACAATTTCAAAGTGAAATATTAAAATAGTACTTTGTCAATATTTTGGCAAAATATTTAAACTCTGCTTTTAGGTTGTTCAAGACTTTGAAAGGTGTGAAATTTGTAAAACAGAAATTAAGCTAATAAAATATACGTTTCCTGTCTTTTAACTGATTTGATGTTTGACTACTCCTCTACTTATTTAGCCAGATTTGTGATAAATTTAGTGAAACTGTTTGAAAAATTCTGTCTTGCATGGGCAAATTACTGGTCATGTAATGAAATTCTGTATCAGACTAGAAAACGCATGATTTTTCAGCATTTCGCTGATAAGAAAATACCCCCCCCCCCCCCCCCCCCAAATAAAATTGGAAAATTAAATTTCCAACTTTATACCATCTCTCTTCATTTTCTTGACAGGATTCAGGAAACAGACATCTTTTTTTCATATTTTACATGATTAGACAACATATACCGGTACATTGAATGTATACACCAACATGATGTGAAGGTATCATTTAACAAAACTGATTAACATAAAATCAATTAAAAACATCAAAATGTGTAACAGAATATACAATGCATAATTTATGTGTGAAACATTTTGGGACATCACTATTTATATTAATTACATTGTAATATAAAATCTATACACATATGCCTGGCATCTACAGCCAGTCAAGATAAAGCTTCATTCTGACAAAATGAAAAAAATGAATAAAAAAGGCCTTAATTCTTTTAAGGCAAAGTATAGGATTTTTGAAAAAATAAAATTTAAAGAGTTTAAACCTGCATAATTTTCCTTGCTTTTAACATAATTCTGTATATCTTAAAACTTTTTAATAAGTTCTTTATTGATTGAATCTCTGGCCTTGCCGTCATAAACATTTAGAGCACGATTATCGTACTCAAGACTCAGAATTCAACCAATAAAAATACTGATTTAGTGTTTCAAGCACAAATTTTGCAATATCATTAATGATTGGCTTCACTGTACCTCACAAAGAATACCCCCACATTATCAAACAGTATCATTTTTTTTAAAATGTGAACTTTACCCTTTTTCACACTTACTTTGTTATTGAAAGAGTAAAATGTATTTATTAAGGAATGACTGTAATATTTTTTCTGTCTATGAAGAAATAACATAAAAACTGTGGTACACACTTTAAATTTAAAGTATGAACCACATTTTTTATGTTATTTCAAATAGTATTACAGTCATTCCTTATAATTTAATTCTAATAAGGAGTAAATCATGATAAAAACGTTGATGACATCACGGTCACATGACAAAATTGTCTATGAGCTCATAGACAAAACCCTTTCAGCCAATCAGAAAACGTGTTACATTCAAAATTAAATTATATATAAAGGGTGGTAAGAACTTGTGATAGGATGCAAAACTGAAAACTGATGAAAGGACGGACGGACAGACAGACGGACAAACGAACGGACTGACGAATGGACACACAGATCGAAAAACATAATGCCCCTTTACTATCGTTTTTACTATCGTTTAATCCTCAATTAATGGAACAATTTTCAATATGCGAAAAAATTGGGACTGATAATATCAAAACAAGATTTTTACTAACCCTTTGCTACTATAAGTGTAGACATTGCATTAATGGATCACTTATTCCTACCACTTGTTGATAATTTGTAGTAACATATGCACACATTGAGTTTTGAAATTAAAGTAAGTAGTTATTGTTTTGAGGAATCCTTTAGCTATCATCACTTCAAAAGTCTAAAAGTCTGAAAAGACCAGTTTTTGTCTTAATTTGCATGAACTTTTACTCAACATTCTCCAAAAGTATGACTTGTGTCTTAATTTTTCTTGACAAATTCTCATTTATATTAAATTTGTATGAAATTTACTCGACATATTCTCGACATTCTGAATGAATGTAGGACAGAAAGTCACAGGACAAAAAGTCACGGACAAAAAGTCACAGACAAAAAGTCACAGGACAAAAAGTCACAATTCAGTTTTGAGATTAATTTTCTTTGAACAAGAAAACACTTATTTTGAAAATATTTTTTTTGGATTTTTCTTGAAGTTCTATATATGACGCAACTTTTTAATTAAAATTTATTCAATAAATATCAATAATGATCAAATAATTGTTATGAAAACAAAATGTCAAAGTGGCTTGGTACTTGAATGGCTTCATTTTGCCAATAAATATATCTTTTGCAAGATTAAAATTTCATACATTTTCATTTATCAAGGTTTATGAGCAATTTCCTTAACTTAAAAATGAATATATGTTATAAAAAGAAATTATTTCAAAATATATTTAAACAATTGTCAAAAAATTATTTGTGACTTTTTGTCCTGTGACTTTTCGTCCTATCAAATTTGTGACTTTATGTCCTGTGACTTTCTGTCCGTTTACCTTCTGAATATGGTCTTAAAATTTCTTGACAAATTCTTGACATTTGAATACTGTCTTGAAATTTCTCGACATATCCTTGACATTCTTATTTTTTCTCAGTATGGCTTGACATATTCTGAACATTTTGAATCGTGTCTTAAATTTACTTGACAGTTCCGAGTTTTACAAATCATGACCAATATTCATGATATAACTTTAATCTTTATTTCTCTTTATATGATATACTGTTGTTTCAAGTTACACTTCTCTACAACAAAAATAAAAGTTGGGCATGTAAAATAATTGAAAATTTGGGTATATAAATATTTTTACAAATGCAAATATGGCTATGAAATCTAAAGTATAAAATAATTCAAATGTGGGTGTGTTGACATAAAACAATTTCAATGTGGGTTTTTAAATAATTACAAATTTTGATTCCTAAATCTTATAAATTAAATGATTCAAACCAATCATACTGTAGACATATTTCATTCTACATTCATAATATTCAATGTTGATATGGTAAATAATTATTATACCAAAATGTGGTTTATATAAATAGCAAATTATGATGATATACAAATCATTCATTTAACAGAAGAAAAAATTGTGTAATGTCATCTGTTGGAATATATTAAGTATTACACATGGACAGGATGTTCCCCATAAAATTAAGGTATTCCAAACCCCAGAGTACACGCAACTGTCAAATAGAAGTTATTGCTTTACCTGTAATCAGCCATACAACTTATCAATTGACCGACCATGCCACTACAATTTAAAAAGTTTGTTGATAGATGAAAATGAAAATCATCATTTTGATAAAAACAATTGAATTGAAATGGATTTTCTTCATCAAAATTATGAAGTTAATTATTTTAACATAAAAACAAATTGAATAATTCCCAAAGATTAAAAGAAAATTATTATCTACTCCCGGAATAATAAAAAAAATGTATTTACAATGGGTCCCATCAATGATTTCTATAGAAATCATCGGTCTTATGAAATGGTTCTCAAACAGACATGCATAATATAGATCTAAACATTTTTTTCTTTTCAGGAAGGAGTTATCACAAATATTTATTTTTGGTAAAAAAAATATTAAATTCAACACTCAAATTTGAATAAAAATGTTTTTGGGTTGTTCTAAAAAATGAATAAGGTTTTTGAATCAAGATGGGAACAAATTCTTTGATCTAAACGAAAGCCCCCCCCCCCCCCCCCCCCCCCCCCCCCCCCCCCCCTCTTTTTTTAGCCACACAAACCCAAAAGATGAATTGTGGGGTCCAAAAGAGATACAAGACACCTATTTTAGTAAAGCAAATTTGACTGGCAGATTTGCGAACGGCAAAAATCTAAATGCTGTTTGTCAATACCTTCGACTTATATTCCAAGTGAAAACAATTACTTAAATGTTTAATAAAAATAAATCAAAATTAAACTACATTATCGTCATGGGGGATTATTCAGGGTATTCCAACTTAGTTGCACCAAAAGGGTATCTTACTATACCAAATTAATCCTTGATTCTTCAAAGTTTAGTTTAGCCATAATAAAAAGGAGTATATAACAGCAATAGAATGTCATAAACAGTGCAGAATAAGTCTGTTCACATTTCAGGCGAAATTTATACTGTTGAGATAGTGTCAAGACATATTTAAGACTGTCAAGAATGAGTCGAGACATATTCAGACATTATTTAGAATGTCAAGAATATGTCGAGACATATTCAGACATTATTAAGAATGTCAAGAATATGTCAAGACAGATCGAGACAAATTTAAGACAGTCAAGAATTGGTCGAGACTAATCCAGACTCTTATCAGATGATACAGGAAGTGTCGAGAAATTTTAAGACAATGTTCATACTGTCAAGACACTTGTCAAGAAAAATCAAGAACCTTATTAGACAAATTCATACTATGTCAAGAATTTTTAAAAATTATTCAGACAAATTAAGAATGTCGAGTAAAAATTCATGCAAATTCAGACAAAAACTGGTCTTTTCAGACTTTTTGACTTTTGAAGTGCATTTAGCCCACAATTATGGAGAAGTAATTAAAAAAAAATATTTTAAAAACAGTATTGATGTAACACACTTACATGTAAGTACCTCATGCAAATCAAATACCAAGATGAGATTCAACGAAATATTCACATACTTTACTTATAAATTATAAGTTTTAATTGTTTTATAAATAAACATTTATTTTGTCCCTGCTTTAAAGCAATATTATGGAATATCATGACTAATGATCTCTGCTAAATTTACTTTGTACATTGAAAAGCAACATGGTACTGTAAATTTTGAAATTTTTGAGTGCATTGATTATCAAGTTGTTCAACAATGGACAGAATTGTGAAATTTATTATTACGATTCAGGAAATCCTGCATACAAATAATTCTATGAAAATCTAAAATTCAAGTTTTCAATTTTGGCAAAACCTATCCTGTTGCAATGTTTGCAATAATAAAAACATCACAAAAATTTCTGAATTTTCAGAAAAATAAAACTAACAAGACAATAACACTACACCTCTCTCATCAGAAAGTACTCTCTTATTTAGTTGTGTTTGACAATAAAAAAATATATAGCCTCATTTCTTAAAAACCAGCATGTTTTACGATGGCAATATTCATACTCTAAAAAACCTTCAATAACAGTTAGGTGTATTTAGATGTTAACAGGACTAGTGTTCAGACACCATCTGTAGGACAGGTTGAATTATAACATCTTCCAAGTTCAGTTTTTTAATACAAAATTCACCAATCATCAATGCCTGGGGGAGGGGGCTGAACTCTTTTTGGAGGATTTACTGGAGTGGAAGGAGTTAGTGGTTTGACTTCAATTCCTGGTGGCAATGGTGGTGGCTGTAGTGGTGGTACCTTCTGGGTACTTATCTCAGCCGCGGCTTTCTGTGCCAGAACTTGTGGAGGTGGAACTGGTACCTTATCTGCTAATCTTGGTGCTTGTGGAACTTTCTTCTCTAATTTTGGACGCTGGTCTACATCTTCAGGCAAAGATGAATCTTGATCTTTATCCCCTTTTCTTTGATCTTTGTCACGATGACGATGATCTCTGTCATCATGTCTTGAATGATGGCGATCATCATCTCTTCGCCTCCTTTTAGATTTTCTGTGTGAGGAGTCTTCATGCCTTCTCCTCCTACCTCGATCGTGACCATCTGAATCTCGATCATGTGACCCCCTTCCTTGTCCACGTTTGTTCTGATTTACTCTAAAATCCTGGTCCTCAGCAGAACTAGAAAAATTGTCTTTGCCCATTTCATTTTGTGGCATATCTCTACGCCTATAGTCCTGATCTAAAGGAGAGCAGAAATTTCTTAAATCGCTATCTTCTGATGGAAATTGTAAATCTGAACCAAATACAGGATCTGGGGTATAACGACCCCCTTTTCTATGGTCAACATCTTCTGGCCATATCACTCTTGGGGGAATAACAGGGGGTTTGTTTATTGTGGCCTGTCTCATATCAACATCCATCACTCTTAAATCCTGATCTTGTCTTAAATCTAAGTCTTGAGGCTCTTCGGCTCTCCAGTCATTATCCGCTAGATCAAGTAGTTCACGATCTAATTCATTTCCAGGTTCATCTTTCCTTATTTTTCCCATAATAAGACTTTTAGATGGTGTGACTTCAATTTCAAATAAACTTGGGATAGTCTTTTGCACAATAGGTGGTTGTTGTACTGTTTGTGAAGGCTGTGGCATACCCATTGGAGCAGCTTGTGGCATCATGACTGTTGCCACAGGAGGATTTAAAAGTGGTGTCGGTAGTAATGCTGGCTTGGCATTAGGTATTGGGCCCATTAAACCTTGCACTGCTGGACTCTGAAAAGGTGCACCTGCTCCAGTAATTGGAATACCAGGTACAGTCATAGGAACCGCCTGTGGTCCTACTACAGGAGACATTGGGACTGACATTGGTGGGACCATTGATTCTTGCTGCTTTTCCATCAGTCGTCTGAATGAAGCATCAAGTATAGCTTTGCTAATAGGATCTTTGGCTTCAAGCATAATTTCTGGAGCAGGTTTACCTTTTTTACCCTTTTTCTTTTTTTTCTTTTTCTTTCTACCTTTTTTACCAGTTTCTTCCTCTTCTTCAGATACCTCCTCCTCCTCTGGAGCATGGTCCGGTGGAGGTGGTGGAGGTTCTTCAGGTAGTGGGGGAGGAGCCTCTGGTTCAGCAGGTAATGGAGGATATTGCAGATGGGGAATATTAGCTGAATCTTGGGACTCTTCACTGGAAGATGACATGACAGAGGATGGCCTTGTGTCATCATCTTTTAGCTCTTCACTTGGTGTAGTAGACGGAATTTCGTCAGCCTCACTATCAGAGTCACCGTAATCAAATTCAAGTAATGATACATTAAATTTATTATGTCCTTCTCTCGAATTATCCACTGCTGCAGCCTGCTTCGTTTTGACGACTATTTTTTCTTGACGAGGATCTGCCGGTTTTACAGACTCTACTAGTTTTTTGTTTTCTTTTTCTTTTGCTGAATCTTGAATTTCTAATTGTTCCTGTTCAATTTCAATGTTATCGACCTCCTTTTCACTGATCTCTTCTTTCTTATCAGTTGTTATTGGATCAGCTTCTTGAAATTTAGTCACATGACTATAACTTCCTGGAATACTTGAGAATAATGATTTCAGAGCCTCAGGCATAGATGACATTTTTTCTGATTGTGCTGCAACTTCATGTGGCAAAAGTCCAATTGTTTTTGATGCAAGTAGCTGTACATCTGCTGCTCCTGCAGCAGTAGGAGCAGACATTTTGGAAGAGGTTACTGAAGGGAAAAATTCAGCTGCAACAGATGACACTGTGTCTGTCTCTATAGATGATGTAGTACTGACTTCACTAGAAGATGCTGATGAAACAGAGTTAATTTCAGAATCAGTTTTTGCACTTTGCTGAGATGCAGATGAAACACCATCACTTTCAGATACATGAGTTTTATCACTCTGTTGTGAAGCTGTTATTGCCGCCCTTTTAGGTGCTGAGACTAGAGTTTTTGAAATCTGACTTATCGCTGTCATAGCATTTGCCACAGCAACCAATGGAAGAGCTGGATCTTGTACAGACTTCCCAGCATGCTTGAGTTCAATTAATTTCTTCTGTTCACACACTCGTTGAGTAAGTTCTAACAATATTTTTTGCTTGTCTGTGATGGTTGCCATTGGAGACAATCCACCAGTAATTGTTTCATTTGCCTCTAGGGGATTTGTTGCCAGTTTTAATTTATCCATCATATGAGATACAATACTGGCAGCTCCTGGCAATGTTTTAACTGATCCAGGACTTGACGATGGGGATGAACGTTTCACCACTGGTGCTAGTGGTTTCTTGAACACAGCTTCATCACTAGGTTTTTGTGGTACTGGATCCATAGTTGGCTTCTCTGGGTCATAAGGTTCTGGCTCCTCTGAAAATATAAGTCAAATTATATATGCTGATCTATACTGTGTTTTCAAACATGGGCATACGAAAATAAAACATTAATACAACACATTTAGGAACTAGGAATTTTCACCAAAAAAAACTATGTTTATTAAAAGTTTTTTCAGCCATTCTCAAGAATTTTTTGTTGTTTCATTTTCTTCTCTTCTTTACCTTTTCAAACCAAATAAAGTGATGTGAAAGTAATCAATACCTATAGATTTTATTTTGGTTTTTTGTTATTCTTTTCTACTTATTTAGTGTGTTTTAATATATATTCTAATGACTATATACTACCTTTAAGGATAAATGAACGTCTGCTTAAAATAATCCAAGAACATCATCAGAAATTAAAACATTCATTTTGTTATTATATTTTGCTGTTACTCCACTGCCCAACATTAGTAGGAGGATTGAGCACTCACAAACATGTTTAAACCTGCCACGTTCTGTAAATGTGTTGTCATATATCAGGCTGTATGTTTTTTTTGTGCTTGAATTGTTTCACATTTCAGGGTCTTTTATAGCTGACTATACAGTATTGGTTTTGCTTATTTTTGAGAGCCTATAGTTGCTTACATCCATGTCATTAAAACTCTGATTGTTAGTTGTCTCATTAGCAATCAAACCAAATCTCCTTATTTTCGTATGGTACACTCTTTTTGAAAATGAAATGTTAATATTTACATAATGATACATCAAAATTTCTTGATAACATGTTCTGTCAACCCTAGAGTTCAAAGATCAATATCAGTACATAGTCTTAGACCAACAAATTGATATCAATCAAGGTTTGGTACAGTATATGATACAACTTTGAACAGGGTATTTAGGTTTTAATAAAGCTATATTAGTCAGATGTTCAGAACACCATAACAGAGTTATATAATGATACTCCTGCTTTAAGGATGTTTGCCATTGTTGTTTTCGACCTTTTGTCAGATATTCAGAATCCTTTTTTATCCATGTAAAACCAATGAAAATGTTTTGCCCGCTAACCCCCACTTTCCTTCATAATTTTATTACATATGGTTTAAGAAGCCATTTTTGAAAATCTTATAAAATCCTTGTTAATTTTTCACATTTTTTGAAAGAAAGAGGGGCCAATGTTAAATGTATCAAATTTCAATTGAGTATATCTCAAAACAAGGACACAGACCTTTCCTTTTTTTTTATGTTCCTTTATCTATATACTATCAATTTATTACAGTCATCTAAAAGGCTTGTTATTTGAAACAGCGGAGCGAACATCCTTAAGTATATATATGTAACAGGCAGTTGAAAAACAAAATGAATCTGAAACTGTGTCATACAGTAGAGCATGCTGACATAAAACCTGATTACAAATTTTAGGAAGATATTGTTTGTAGTTCCTGAGAAAAATGTGACTATAATTTAATGGGATAGTCATACACACAGACAGAAGGACAGACAGTGTAAAACAGTATATCAAAACTCCTTTTTTAGCAGGGGTATAATAAATTTTGGGGCCACTGACAAGATATATTCTAGGAAAAAAAGCCTGTTGATATTATTGGTTCTAAGTTTTCATCTTCTGATGATGATAATAATTCAGATATGATATGAACTCTGCTTTGCACTAGCCAGACATGCTTAATTCTTTATCATGCTAGTTCACAAGGCATCAGAACTCAGAAAAAAGTAAAATAACAAAAATACCAAACTCAAAGGGAAATTCAAAACGGAAAGTCCTTTATAAAATGGCAAAATCAAAAGCTCAAGCACATCAAACGAATGGAAAACTGTCATATTCCTGACTTGGTACAAGCATTTCCTAATGTAGAAAATAGTGGATTAAACCTAGTTTTATAGCTAGCTAAACCTTTCACTTGTATGAAAGTCACATAGAATTCAATTATATTGACAACAATGTGTGAGTAAAATAAACAGACATAATAGGTAAAATTGTCAAAAATTGGGGTACAGCAATCAACATTGTAATATAATCTTAATCACTATAAAAACAAATAACTATTTCTACAAAGAAAAACAAAAATTGCATATATGGTCCGTGTTTTTGTTTTATGTTTTTCTGCTTTGTATAGATCTGATGAGTTAAGCCTTTTTCAACTGATTTTTACAGTTTATTCTTATGTTGTGCTTTAACACCACTAACCCAGGTTAGGGAGAGGGTTGAGCACTCACAAACATGTTTAACTCCGCCACATTCTTTGTGTGCCTGTCCCAAGTTAGGAGCCTATAGTTCAGTGGTTGTTGTTAGTTCATGTCTGTCATATTTGTTCTTCGTTAATTGTTTTGTTATAAATAAGGCTATTCTCAATTGTATTGTTTCATATTTTTCATGTCGGGCCCCTTATAGCCAACTATACGGTAAGGTTTTTCTCATTGTTGAAGGCTGTAAGGGTGCCTATAATTGCTTACATCCACTTTATTTGACCTTTGGTGGATAGTTGTCTCATTGGCAATTATACCTCATCTCCTTATTTTTATATAGACAGAAAGAAATGTCACCCTACCTAAAATAAATTATTCGGACTCGTAAATGCTCTTTGTTTAGTACAGATGTAGCAAATACCAATTTGCCAGTCTTTGGTGGCCGTCGGCTGTTGTCTGCTCTATGGTCGGGTTGTTGTCTCTTTGACACATTCCCCATTTCCATTCTCAATTTTATTTGGTATAATCTGACCAAAAATCAAAACCTAAGACCTGCAGCATTGGTGACAAAATTATTGATACCAGTGGTTCTCAAGGTATTGTGAAATAAACTGGACATTTGGTCTAGTAAAAACATTCTTCTTAACTGGACCTGACTCTATTTTACTGGACATTCACACATATGATTTGGACAATATCAAAAATGTTACTTGTCATTTGATCCAGTAATGCATATCACTTAACTGGACCAAACCAATTTTTACTGGTCTATGCCCATTGTCCAGTGACCATGGGTATGACTGTTATACAACATGCTTCCAAGATTCATGCCATTTATATACCATTTGGCAACAATTTTGCCCAAGCAAGAATGTAAGTCAACATTTAAAAAGTGTAAATATCAATACAAAAACAATCATAGGGTTAAAATAAAAAGGTAAATAGAATTTTCAGGCAAGGAATATAACTTTCACTGGTTACTATATATTTGGTAATGTTATTTTCAAGTTATTGTACATTTGGATTTCATTCACTAGTGAGAGAACTTTGATGATCATCACCATTCACAAATTGCTAACTAATTGTTTCATATTTTCAAACCTTCAAACAAAACCACTCCACCACTTACAATATATTAACTTGATTGCCCCCTCTTTTCCTACCATTTGATCATTTCAAGAATATCAATTCCTCTTTCTCTCCTATTCAGTCTTCCAATTTTAAATTAAGAAATTGTTTACAAAAATATTTATGAACTAGAGGCTCTAAAGAGCCTGTGTCGATCACCTGCATTTTCAACAATGGCCTCTTTTTAGTAAAAATCATCATTAAAGGGGAATAACTCTATTAAGTGTTAGCTGACAATTTCAGTCATGTTGACATGTTTGTAGATCTTATCCAGCTGATTATTTTCCTTTTCAAAGTTTCTATTTATCTATTACAGTTTTCAAGATATTAAGTAAAAATGTGATAAATCATCATTAAAGGGCAATAACTTCAATAAGGAGTCGACTAACAATTTCAGTCATGGTGACTTATTTGTAGATCTTGTCTTGCTATTCATTTTTGCTGCTTAAGAGTTTCCATCTATCTAATATAGTTTTTAAGATAGGCAAATACGCAAAACATTTGTAGATCTTATCTTGTGGATCATTTTTTTTGCTATTTAAAGTTTTTGTCTATCTATTATAATTTTCATGATAATCAGTCAGGGGTACTACTTAAACAAGTGATTTCAGAATCACTCCCTCGAGTGATTTTGGCTGTGAAATATTAAAAATTTTCACACAGACTTTTTAAAATCACTGAAACAAGTAATTTGAGAAGTTAAAATGTAATCACTTTAATAAGTGTTTATAACATTTTTTTGATATTTTTCCCACAAGCTTGATTTTTTTATTGGTAAAAAGACAACAATTCCATTGAAAAAACAACTATGTATATGCAGAAATTGTCTTTTGCTTGATAAGCCTGACACTTTTACAGTTTTTTTAAAATATGCAAAAACTGGAATAGTTTGTTGATCAGGTCATAACCTTGAAGTAGATCATTCTAACTCAAAAGAAAACCAATCAGGTTACCTAATATTGTTGATCTTTTTCTGATAGTAAGAGTAGTTAATGAATTTTTGATTACAGAAAAATTCCCAAGGGTACTTTTAAAAGCTTTAGCGCACTAACTTACTGCCCAAGCGCACTGGTGAAATTAATATACAAAGAAAAAGGGATAATTGATTTATGTAGGAAAATTAAAGAAAAGATTGTGAAAATATGGAAAATCAATGAAATTAGCATTTGAAGATCAAAGAAAACACTAAAATCACTTAAATAGGTGATAACTGAATTTATCAAATCACTGAAATAAGTGATGATGAAATCACTTGTTTAAGTAGCACCCCTGACTGATAATAGGGGAAAAATTTTAAAAATGGTAAAATTTGTCATTTAAGGGCAATAACTCCTATAAGAAGTCGATTGAGAGTTTTGACGTAAATAGACAATAGGTAGAGCTCAACATTCTGCACATTTTTTACCCTGTCAGAATTTCTCTTTTTATAGCGGTTTTCGAAATAACAGGCAAAACTTACATTTTACCCATGTCCTATTTTTAGGCATGACGGCCACCTTGTCTGGCAGGCGGGGTCATTAGACATATTTTTTAAACTAGATACCCCAATGATGATTGTGGTCAGGTTTAGTTAAATTTGGCCCAGTAGTTTCAGAGGAGAAGATTTTTGTAAACGTTAACAGACAACGATGGCAGACATCGGACACAAAGTGATGAGAAAATCTCAGGTGAGCTAAAAAATAAGCCAATAACAATTTCCCTTGAAGTGGAAAATTTATCAGGGTTAATAAAACATGTAATACATATGATTCTAGGAATGTTTTCATTATTGCCCAACTGCATGAAATGCACTGAAATCTTTTTAAAAAATAGCATTTATGGTTCCACCCAACCCTGCATCTTTCCTGGGAATGCTGTTGTCAGTGTTGAAAAGTATTTTTGACTAACAATATTTAATTCCTTCATATTCAGGAAAATATGCAAAATAAAAATTAAATCTTAAATTTAAAAGGGTTCAAAACAACAAGGAACAGTGAAGTTAATGGGTTCACAACTCCAAGGAACAGTGAAGTTAATGGGTTCAAAACAACAAGGAACAGTAAAGTCAATGGGTTCAAAACACCAAGGAACAGTAAAGTCAATGGGTTCAAAACACCAAGGAACAGTAAAGTTAATGGGTTCACAACACCAAGGAACAGTGAAGTTAATGGGTTCAAAACAACAAGGAACAGTGAAGATAATGGGTTCACATCACCAAGGAACAGTGAAGTTAATAGGTTCAAAACAACAAGGAACAGTGAAGTTAATAGGTTAATAACACCAAGGAAAAGTGAAGTTAATCACTTCACAACACCAATGAACAGTGAAGTTAATGGGTTCACAGCACCAAGGAACAATGAAGTTAATGGGCTCACAACACCAAGAAACAGTGAAGTAAATGGGTTCACAACACCCTGGAACAGTAAAGTTAATCAGTTCACAACACCATGTAACAGTGAAGTTAATCGGTTCACAACACCAAGGAACAGTGAATTTAATGGGTTCACAACACCAATGAACAGTGAAGTTAATGGGTTCACAACACCAAGGAACAGTGAAGTTAATGGGTTCACAACACCAAGGACCGGTGAAGTTAATGGGTTCACAACACCAAGTAACAGTGAAACCTTACTATAACAGTTTGTCTTCCACTTACACAATATACTATCACTTATCAAAATACATTAAATGAACACAGATTATTGTTTTAAATCATTTTGCATCATATATATTATCAATGTAATACATTATGAATATTTGAAGCTTCTAGAATTTAAACTATATATAATCTTTATAATCTTTAAAGAATTCAAATTTATTGTAAATATCATAAAATTTATTTTCTGATTCCTGGGATACCAATTTTCGTGGGTATAGGTTAACAGATTTAAATGTTGAACAAAGCTAATTTTTTTTTATAGGCTGGTATACAAATTTGTCAAGACCAAAAATTCAAATATCCAGGAATATTCAGTTTTCATCAATCTACAAAAATTGGTATCCATAAAAATAAATGAATTTATCAATTAAATATAAACAAACTTATGACAAACTGGTACAGAAAGATTTCCTGTTATTTAATCACCCACCAACAACAGAACTATACACTTCCACAATGGGATCACTGCCACCAGATGGCATTATAGAGGAAGCAGCAGTTGTCATGGTAACCATTGATGTCACAGTAGAACTAGTAGTAGATGTTATGGTACTAGATTTAGATTTGTATTTCAAACCTATACCTGGCTTGCTTATTTTGGGGATTTTCGGAAGTGGTCCATATGATTTCTGCCCAGGAGGAGTATATGGTCGTTTTTCCTGCTGACGAACTTTGTTGACTTGACCTTGTCGATGTTTTGGTTTAGGGTCTGGTTCGACACCATGTGGCTTTAATTTCTGCCTCACTATAACTGCCAGTAACATATGAGGACGGTTCAACTCCAAACCTAAAATATATTTATAAATAATTTTTTAAGTGTTTGTTACTGTAACAAATATTAAATATGCACAGTAAAACACTTTTGTTTGACATACTTGATATACATATGAATTAAAGAAGGTTCAACTTGATGAAACAAAGTTGCCAAAAAATTGATATTAACATAGACTTTGCCTATTGTTAGAAGACTATACCTATTGTTAAATCGGTATTGCAGAGTTTTATTTGAGGGTCTCTTTATCTGAGGTATAAATATTCTGCATATTTTTTCTGTACTATGAATATTTTTTGCATATTTTCTGTACTATGAATACTTTTTGCATATTTTTCTGTTCTGTGAATACTTTTTGCATATTTATCTGTACTATGAATATTTTTTGCATACTTTTCTATACAATGAATACTTTTTGCATATTTTTCTGTATTATATTTTTTGCATATTTATCTGTAATATGAATATCTTTTGCATATTTTTCCTGTACTGTGAATATTTTTGCACACTTTATTTTCTATACTGTGAATATTTTTAGCATATTTTTTCTGTAAATCATATACTTTAAGCAATATTTTTCCTTCCTATGAATATTTTTTGCAAATTTTCCCTTACTAAGAATATTTTAGCAATATTTTATGTACTTTTGTCTAATGTTTGCCTTCCCTATTCACCTTTTCTGTCAGTGTATGCCAAAACCTGTCAAATGGGAGTTCTCTTCAGATGCAATTGATGAAAAATGGTTATTTCTCTTACATAATAGAAAAACAAGGGATATGGGGTATCCATCCATGACACAAAATCAGAACATGCACATAAAAAAAAACACACAAAAAGTAAAGAATAGCGCTTTAATTGCTACTCTTCATCTCAGAGGTCACAGTGAGGCTTTTAACACAGAGCAACAAACAAAAAAATCTCTCACCTCACTGCAAGTTTAAGACGACCCCGAGCACCAGTTTGAGCAAAATTCTTTGTAAAATCATTCGGATAGACTTTGTAAGATATAACACATAACCATGTTCCTAAAGTTGTTCATTCCTGCATGAATATATCAGCAGAATGTAGAGCTATTACTACTTAGCAATTGGACATTGAGTATATAGTATTAGGGTTAGATGGTTTATGAATTTGGTGTGAGGTTAGACAAGAGACATTTGTCAATTAGCTATTAAATAATGAAAAATCGCTGGATATGACTCATACAATGTATTTTATCAGAAGTAACATGGGAGTGTCACTAAGGGAGTACATAAGTTACCCTGTGTTTGTTTGGAGGGATCCTCACTAATGGAGTACACAAGTTCATCCCAGTATTTGGTGGGGAGAAATCCTCACTAATGGCGAACATAAGTTACCTCCAGTTTTTGGTGGGGAGGGATCTCCTCTAATGAAGCACATAAGTTACCCAAGTTTTTGGTGGAAAAGGATCCTCCCTAATGGAGTACATAAGTTCACCCCAGTTTTTGGTGGGGAGGGATCCTCACTATCGGAGCACATAAGCTAAAGTTACCTCAGTTTTTGGTGGGGAGGAATCCTCACTAATGGAGTACTTAAATTACCCCCGGTTTTTGGTGGGGAGGGATCCTCACTAATGGAGTACATAAGTTACCCCCAGTTTTTGGTGGGGAGGGATCCTCACTAATGGAGCACATAAGTTACCCAAGTTTTTGGTGCGGAGGGATCCTCACTAATGGAGTACTTAAGTAACCCCAGTTTTTGGTGGGGAGGGATCCTCACTAATGGAGCACATAAGTTCACCCCAGTTTTTGGTGGTGAGGGATCCTCACTAATGGAGTACATAAGTTACCCCAGTTTTTGGTGGGGAGGGATCCTCACTAAAGGAGCACATAAGTTACCCAAGTTTTTGGTGGGGAAGGATCCTCACTAATGGAGTACATAAGTTACCCCAGTTTTTGGTGGGGAGGGATCCTCTCTAATGGAACACACATGTCACCCCAAGTTTTTGGTGGGGAGGGATCCTCACTAATGGAGTACATAAGTTCACCCCAGTTTTTGGTGGGGAGGGATCTTCACTAATGGAGTACATAAGTTCATCCAAGTTTTTGGTGAGGAGGGATCCTCTCTAATAGAGTACATAAGTTACCCAAGTTTTTGGTGGGGAGGGATCCTCCCTAATGGAGTATATAAGTTATCCCCAATTTTTGGTGGGGAGGGGTCCTCACTAATGGAGTACATAAGTTTACCCCAGTTTTTGGTTAGGATGGATCCTCACTAATGGAGTACATAAATTATCCCAGTTTTTGGTCGGGAGGGATCCTCACTAATGGAGCACATAAGTTTACCCCAGTTTTTTGTGGGGAAGGATCCTCACTAATGGAGAACATAAGTTACCCCAGTTTTTGGTGGGGAGGAATCCTCTCTAATGGAACACACAAGTTACCCCCAGTTTTTGGTGGGGAGGGATCTTCACTAATGGAGTACATAAGTTCACCCCTGTGTTTGGTGGGGAGGGAGCCTCACTAATGGAGTACATAAGTTACCCCAGTTTTTGGTGGGGAGGGATCCTCACTTATGGAGTACATAAGTTACTTCCAGTTTTTGGTGGGGAGGGATCCTCACTAATGGAGTACATAAGTTACCCCAGTTTTTGGTGGGGAGGGATCCTCACTAATGGAGTATATAAGTTACCCCAGTTTTTGGTGGGGAGGGATCCTCACTAATGGAGAACATAAGTGACCCCAGTTTTTGGTGGGGAGGGATCCTCACTAATGGAGTACATAAGTTACCCCAGTTTTTGGTGGGGAGGGATCCTCACTAATGGAGCACATAAGTTCACCCAAGTTTTTGGTGGGGAGGGATCCTCACTAATGGAGTACATAAGTTACTTCCAGTTTTTGGTGGGGAGGGATCCTCACTAATGGAGTACATAAGTGACCCCAGTTTTTGGTGGGGAGGGATCCTCACTAATGGAGCACATAAGTTACCCCAGTTTTTGGTGGGGAGGGATCCTCACTAATGGAGCACATAAGTTCACCCAAGTTTTTGGTGGGGAGGGATCCTCACTAATGGAGCACATACGTTACCCAAGTTTTTGGAGGGGAGGGATCCTCACTAATGGAGTACATAAGTCTACCCCAGTTTTTGGTGGGGAGGGATCCTCACTAATGGAGTACATTAGTTTACCCCAGTTTTTGGTTAGGATGGATCCTCACTAATGGAGTACATAAGTCTACCCCAGTTTTTGGAGGGGAGGGATCCTCACTAATGGAGTACATAAGTTACCCCCAGTTTTTGGTGGGGAGGGATCCTCACTAATGGAGATCATAAGTGACCCCAGTTTTTGGTGGGGAGGGATCCTCACTAATGGAGCACATTAGTTACCCTAGTATTTTTGGTGGGGAGGGATCCTCACTAATGGAGTACATAAGTTACCCCAGTTTTTGGTGGGGAGGGATCCTCTGTAATGGAACACACAAGTTACCCCCAGTTTTTGGTGGGGAGGGATCCTCACTAATGGAGTACATAAGTTCACCCCAGTTTTTGGTGGGGAGGGATCCCCACTAATGGAGTACATAAGTTCACCCAAGTTTTTGGTGAGGAGGGATCCTCTCTAATGGAGTACATAAGTTCACCTTAGTTTTTGGTGGGGAGGGACCCTCCCTAATGAAGCACATAAGTTCCCCTTAGTTTTTGGTGGGGAGGCATCTTCCCTAATGGTGCACATGAGTTATTCCCAATTTTTGGTGGGGAGGGACCCTCCCTAATGGAGCACATAAGTTCACCTTAGTTTTTGGTGGGGTGGGATCCTCCCTAATGAAGCACATAAGTTCCCCTTAGTTTTTGGTGGGGAGGGACCCTCCCTAATGGAGCACATAAGTTCCCCTTAGTTTTTGGTGGGGAGGGATCCAGTTGCTTTAGGGCATACAAAACAGTTACAGAGGAGGTAATGATGCTGCTAAAATGTTATATTTTGCTACTGCAAACTGTAGCATATAATGAAAATTGACCCTTTTTTAAAATGACATTTGGTTTGATTATGTAGGAAAAATATTTGTACCAATTTTTATGAGATGCTGAAATCATTAATCTTTGATAAAAAATAAGAAAATTGTTACACAAATGTATATTACTAAAACATGTGTCTACTATTCTTTTTTTATTTTACTAAGAAAGAAAAATGAAAAAATTGCTTTTTTAATAGAATAGACTAGGTGAAAAATACCTTTGTATGTAAATTTTCGTAAAAGAATAACATTGGGATCAAAACTGTATTGTATGTCCTTAATCTTAAGTGTTCTGAGGGCTTTGGTTTGTTGCATCTTTTTGGCCTTTGTATTGTCTATTTTACTTCAAATTATTTTTTATTATTCCCTTGGTATCTTTTCCCTAATTGCTTTAATACATACCCTGTTCAACAAACGGTTTAATGACTGATGGTATTTTACTATGAGATGCAAGAGGCAGGATGTAGAAATCCTTTATGTACTTTGAGACACTCCCCACCACTCCACATCGTGATCGACTGTTGAGATATGAATATAAATTGATGTATGATGTCTTTTCTTCATTTGGTCCAGGGATGAATCTTAATACAATAATGTCCTGAGGAATAAACACAAATATTTATTAGGTTTGTCAATCGTTACGTCTGATTCTCAAATAATAAATCATTCACTAAAAAATATTATATTCTTTAAGGAAATTATCAGCACAGCAAGACCTTATCAACCATGAAAATCTCAAAAAAAATCTGGCCACCTGTTTTGTTATTGTCTCTGAAACATCCATTTTTACAAATTTAAAAACTTAGTCATATGAAACAAGTTTTTTCGTTTTAATTCTAATGAAATAAAAATTATTGAATCAATGTATGCATATATACTAAATAAATCCAGTATATATAATAATAAGAAGATGTGGTATGATTGCAAATGAGACAACTCTCGACAAGAGACCAAATGACACAGAAATTAACAGCTATAGGTCACCGTACGGCCTTCAACAATAAGTAAAGCCCACATGGCATAGTCAGCTATAAAAGGCCTGAAATGACAAATGTAAAACAATTCAAACGAGAAAAACTAACGGCCTAATTCATGTACAAAATAATGAACAAAAAAACAATTATGTTACACAGCAACAAATGACAACCACTGAATTACAGGCTTCTGATTTGAGACAGGCACAAACAGAATGTGGCAAGGGTTAAACTCGTTTGAAGGCGCCAACCCTCCCCTAACCTGGGACAATGGTGTAACAAGTACAACATAAGAACAAACTATAACAAGAGTGCACACGCTGAAATGTCTCGTCTACTAAACTGACCATTGATTTTATGTTGATAGTCCTACATAAAAAGTTTTACAAGTATCACATAATATTTATGATCCAAGAAAATGAGGTCAAGGTCAGATAAACCAAGCCAGAAATACATGTACAGCTTTAATACAATCATTCCATACACAGAATATAGATGACCTATTGCTTATAGTATAAAAGAAAGAGACCATACCATGGAAATTCTATATTGACCAATGAACCATGAAAATGAAGTCAAGGTCAGATGAACCCTGCCAGACAGACATGTACACCTTAAACATGTTAAAATCATTCCATGCATCAAATATAGTTGACCTATTGCTTATAGCTATAGTATCTAAGAAACAAAGTTAACCAGGAAAACTGAACATTGACCAATGAACCATGAAAATGAGGTGAATGTCAGATGATACCTGCCAGACAGACATATACACCTTACAATCATTCCATACACCGAATATAGTTGATCTATTGCTTAAAGTTTAAAGAAAAACAGACCAAAACATGCAAAACACAAAAACTTAACATAGGCAATGAACCATGAAAATAAGGTAAAGGTCAAATAAAACCTGCCAGACTGACATGTACATTTTAAAATATTTCCATACACCAAATATAGTTGACCTAATGCATACAGTATTAGAATAAAATGCTCAGCAGGGCGCAGCTTGATACGACCGCAGAGGTCGAACCCTGAACAGTTGGGGCAAGTATGGACACAACATTCAAGCTTGATACAGCTCTGAATTTGGATTGTGATTAAATATTTGACACAGCATAGGTTTCTGACAGAATGAATGTGGTCTAAGAACTTAAAAATTTTAAATTGGACATTCACCTATTATGGTCCAATATCCAAAATCTAAATACATGGTTAGATTCAGCATATCAAAGAACCCCAAGAATTCAATTTTTGATGAAATCAAACAAAGTTTAATTTTGGACCCTTTTGACCTCAATGTGGACAAAGTTGAAAATGGGGCCCAAAAATCAAAAATCTAAATACATGGTTAGATTCAGCATATCAAAGAACCCCATATATTCAATTTTTGTTGAAATCAAACAAAGTTTAATTTTGGACCCCGATTTGGACCAACTTGAAAACTGGGCCCATAATCAAAAATCTAAATACATGTTTAGATTCAGCATATCAAAGAACCCTAAGAATTCAATTTTTATAAATCAAACTAAGTTTAATTTTGGACCCTTTGGACCTTAATGTAGACCAATTTGAACACGGAACCAAAAATTAAGAATCTAAATACACAGTTAGATTCGGCATATCAAAGAACCCCAATATTTCAATTTTTGATGAAATCAAACAAAGTTTAATTTTGGACCCTTTGGACCTCAATGTTGACCAATTTAAAAACGGGGCCCAAAATCCAAAAACTTAATACACGGTTAGAATCAGCATATTTAAGAACCCCAAGAATTCAAGAATAAAACCCCATTGGAATTGGTCAAGAAATAAGCAACTTATACGAAGTATCTTCTTTTGCACAATACATTGCAATTGAATATTTCTTGCAATTGCGCAATACTGTACAATTGACAATTTCTTGCTATTGCGCAATATTGTGCTATTGGATATTTCTTGCTATTGCACAATACTGTGCAATTGAAGATTTCTTGCTATTGCGCAATACTGTGCAATTGAAGATTTCTTGCTATTGTGCAATACTGTGCAATTGAAAATTTCTTGCTATTGCACAATACTTATTATATAAAAATTTACACATCCTGTTTGGTGTGTATCTCCTACCATATCATTATTATTTGCTTTTAAATATAAAACAGAGAAATAACCAACTTAAAATGGAAAATTTTAAAAGAAAAAAAAAGGAAAAAAAAAAAAAATCCCCCCCCCAAATTTTTTGAACCCCCTTATGATTCATCACCCCAAAACTCAATCCAAGCCTTCCCTTTGTGGTATGGTACCTTGCAGTACAATTTCAGAGAGATCCATACACTTGAACACAAGTTATTGTCTGGAAACTAGAAAAATGCTTATTTTTGGCCCCTTTTTGGCCCCTTATTCCTAAACATTTTGGGCAATTACCCCCAAACTCAATTCCAGCTTTCCCTTTGTGATATGGAACCTTGTCGTACAATTTCAGAAAGATCCATACACTTACACACAAGTTATTATCATGAAACTAGAAAAATGCTTGTTTTTTGCCCCTTTTTTTGCCCCTAATTCTTATATTTTGAGGCAATTACCCCCAAAATCAATCCCAGCATTCCCTGTGTGATATGGAACCTTGTGGTACAATTTCAGAGAGATCCATACTCTTGAACACAAGTTATTGTCTGGAAACTAGAAAAATGCTTATTTTTGGCCCCTTTTTGGCCCCTTATTCCTAAACGTTTTGGGCAATTACCCCCAAACTCAATTCCAGCATTCCCTTTGTGATATGGAGCCTTGTAGTACAATTTCAGAAAGATCCATACACTTACACACAAGTTATTGTCATGAAACTAGAAAAATGCTTGTTTTTTGCCCCTTTTTTGGCCCCTAATTCCTAATATTTTGAGGCAATTACCCCCAAAATCAATCCCAGCATTCCCTGTGTGATATGGAACCTTGTGGAACAATGTCAGAGAGATCCATACACTAACACACAAGTTATGTCTGGAAGTTACAAAAATGCTTATTTTTGGCCCCTTTTTGGCCCCTTATTCCTTAACTGTTGGTACCATAACCCCCAAAATCAATCCCAACCTTCATTTTGTGGTATTGAACCTTATGGTAAAATTTCATAGAGATCCATTCACTTAAACTAAAGTTAGAGTGCGAAAACCAATGTGTCTTCTGACGACGCTGGACGACGCCGACGACGCCAACGTTATACCAATATATGACCGCAAAATTTTTTTAAAATCTTAAATTTTTTTCAAGTAGTCACTGAACCATGAAAATGAGGTCAAGGACAATGGGCATATGACAGACAGAAACTTCATATCATATGGCATCTATATACAAAGTATGAAGGAAGCATCCAGGTCTTCTATCTTCTGAAATATTAAGCTTTTAAGAAGTTAGTTAACGCCGCCGCCGCCAGATAACAAAAACAAAAACACAGGGTGGACGTGGACAGGTACTTATACATCCCCACAACAAAAAGACAATAAGTACAGATCTGAGAGTACTCGCAGTTACTGACAGCTAGTTCAAAGCCAATAACAACTAATAAAAAAAATCATGCATCTACGACTAAAATATGAATCAGTACATGTTTTTTTTACATTTATTATGATGAATTTATAACTTATTATCGACAGATAATATTTCATTCAGCAATTGTTGGTCGCAAGCTTATCAGTTTACGAATTTGTTGTAGAAGTTTACCTAATCATGACATTGATAAACAATCAACACAGAGCAGTGGAGTGAATTGAGAGAACCATGATATTTTTTTTTATAATTTCCATGCATTCCCTTTTGTCAGTTAAACTTTTCCTTTAAAGTTATTAAATGATTCGGTATATTGAATTTGTTATGTAGTAATTAGTTATTACTATTTTCATTCCGGTGCACGTTTTTTTTTATTCTTTAATCATGGTTTCCCCTTGCACTAGTACTTGTGCTGTGGTCGCAGTTCTAACGAAAGGTCTTGTAGTGAAGGTCACTGCATACAGGAAAATTTTGGGGATTTAATGTATGGGAAGACAATAATTCAATAGCAGTACATTTATGTAGATTTTGATAAAATAAAGGATTTCTTTTACAAGAAAGTTCAAACACACTTGTTTTATAGTAAAACTTATCCATTCAAGTATATAAAACATAATTCAAATTTTTTTATAATTTGAAGTTTCATATGACTAAGGTACAACAATCGAACAGTTTGATATAAAATATTTTGAATTTGCTACAGTTTTGATATATTCACAAACAAGAATGTGTTCATAGTACACGGATGCCCCACTCACACTATCATTTTCTATGTTCAGTGGACCGTGAAATTAGGGTCAAAAATCTAATTTGGCATTAAAATTAGAAAGATCATATCATACGGAACATGTGTACTAAGTTTCCAGTTGATTGGACTTCCACTTCATCAAAAACTTTAACCAAAAACTTTAACCTGAAGCAGGACAGACAGACAGACGAACGAACGGATGCACAGAGCGAAAAACATAATGCCCCTAGGTGGGGCATAAAACTGCAGTTTGCCCCCTACATTATATTTTTTGGCAGTGGGGCTGGCGGAATAGGACTAAAATCACAAAATTCATTAACTCTGTTAACATATATATGCAAACTTTTAAATTTTGCATAGCTAGAAGATATTAATGTTAACTTTATTTGCTCATGTTTTCATCAGCTAAATACTAAAAATGAGATGTTTGTAGCTAATTCTAATTCTGTATTTGATGATTTATCTTACCTTTGTTCCTACTTTTCTCATCTTAGACAGATAATCATACACTTGCTCTGGAGATATTCTACCACAAACATGAACTGTGTCTGGTATATTCTTGAAAAAAAATGTGTAGGTACAAAAATTATACACATGTTTTAAAAATGTATTAAACTGTTACAATTAGTATGTCATTGTTAGTTCACAAAAAGTCAACAAAAATTCAAATAGAGCATGTATGAAATGCTGATACATTATAACAAATCCATGCATTGTTAATTGTTTTATTTGGACTTTTTGTGATTAGGATATACATTTTAGAATGTAACCAATTAAAGTTGAGATTTTGGGTCAAATCAGTGAACGATGAATTTGACAGCTAATGCACCTTTAAGACATGTTGTTTGAAAAATATGCCAGATGTATGTTTCGTCTACAAAAGATTCATCAAATCAAAGACGCTCAAAACAAAAAAGTTAAAAAGGCCAAATAAAGTATGAAGTTGAAGAGCATTGATGATCCAAAATTCCGAAAGGTTTTGCCAAAAACAGCTACGGTAGACAAATTCTTAGTATATTGAAAATTCAAAGTTTTGTAAACAGTTAATTTAAAATTAAGACCGTATTAATGATAATTCATGTCAACACAGAAGTGCTACCTACTTCAAAATGGCTAGTGATACCTTCTGGGAGGAAAAATCTCCCAGCAGCGGCATCGACCCAGTGGTTTTAAATAAACAGAGTAATATACCCTTCCCACCAAAAACAAAAAATCCTAGGATGGATTTACTTGTAGTTTCTTCATTATTTACACAAAAAAGGATTACTATGAACATGTGAAAAAACAAAGAGGTTTTGCCAAAAATAGCTAAGGTTATCTTCTTCTTGTCATGAATGTGTGTTTAATTTTTTCCATGGATGTTTATACAACAACGAAAAAATCTAATCGAGTGGATTAACATAGTCCTAATATTTTCTACTATTTTCATATTTTTTACTGGTTTTCAGACATACCAGTTTATCACATGGTCCTGAGATTCTGTATGCTGTGGTAACAAACTTAGCCACATCCTGCATGGAAACAAAACCTTTCCACACTTGAGGTCCTTTTGGGGTAAAATCTGATTTTTGTTCTAAACCTGACTGCAGGGCTGAATCTGGTGATCTGAAATAAAAATAATATGGTATATAGTTTGTGTATAATGGCCGTAAAATTTGATTCCAAGTATAACAGAAGTCTAAAGAATCTAAAAAAAAAACCAATAATACATTACAGTAACAGTAGAATCAATGACTGGTGACTGTATTATGTGTTTTGGTGTTTTTTTATACTCCCTAGCTCTCTATCTAACTAACCTAACAGTAACAGTAGAATCACTGATTGGAGACTGTATTATGTGTTTTGGCATTTGTTTATGCTCCCTAGCTCTCTATTACATAACAATAACTATAGAATCAATGACTGAAGACTGTATCATGTGTTTTGGCATTTGTTTTTTATCTTTTGCTCTCTAAGACTCACCTAACAATAACAGTAGAATCAGCAACTGGAGACTCAGGCATGTGTTGCTCTGGTTCCTCTTGAGGTGCTGGTTTTTGTTCCTTTGCTCTCTTTGCTTCCTCTTCCATCTGTTCTTTCTTTGCTTTCTGAATTGCCTTCAATACTTCCTTCACTACATCCTCTTCCTTCTTTTGTTCTTCTTCACTTTTAATTTTCACTTTTTTGTCACTTGAACTAGGTTCCTCTATCTTCACTTTCCTGGCAACACGAACCTTTTTAGGTGTGGTATCTTTGAGAGGCGGGGCTTCTTTCCCGGTACATATCTTACAGTTCAGATCGAATAAATGATTTTTGTGTTGTGGAGTAGTGTCCCCTATTAACCCTCCAACAAAATCCTTTGCTTGTGTATCGGCTTTCGTCTTTTCCACTTTTTTCTGCTCTATCTTTTTAATACCATGATCCTACAATTAAATACAAATAAATATATCCAACTTTCGGGGTACAAAAACAAGTTAAATTATGACCTATTGCTCACAATTGAAACCCCCACTGTGAAGTATTTGGTGAACAAGATCAGCAATGGTGATGTGAAAAGTATCACACATTTACAGTTAAGCATGCTCACATGTAACATGATGCCAAAATTTAGTGTGCTCTAGTTTGTACTTCCTGAGAAAAAAAGTGACGAAGATTTCCTACATGGCCATAAGGTGTAAGAATATGTAAGTATTTGGCAATTCGGAAGCTGATCAACGATGACACTGAAAATGCATCATACAGTATTGTTTGATGATATCATGCCTGATATCAAATTTCAAGACAATCTCATTTAAAGTAACTGGAAAAAAAAAAGGTAGGAACATTTCATCAGAAGGATGGATGGACAATCAGATAGAGAGGTAAAACTGAACTATCAAATCTTACAGTGAAGTCATAACATAAGCATTGTGACTTCAGAAATGTACAGGAATAAGCACGAATTTGAAAGATATCTATTTAATGTTTTATAAAGCAGTTCATCTCACGGACCTGTTCATTGCTGTAAAACTACTTATTGTTTAATGAAACTATATACATACTTCCAATGTACTCAGATCCTCATCCTCTGTGGCATTAACATATACATACCTCCAATGTACTAAGATCCTCATCCTCTGTGGCATTAACCACGTCAATTTCTATTTCACCTTTGTGAGTTTTTTTAACAAAGTGTTCTCCCTCTTTCATGAGTTCTTCCTCTTGTTGAACAATCATGTCAAGTTCCTACAATTTAAGAATGGATGATCTGTCATGTCAATCTATATAAATATGTACACTTGATAATCAAAGCACTGTAAGTGCTGTAGGCAGTTAACCAAAAACCAAGGCAAACGTAATTATGAAAACTGTGGCAGTCTTGCTTCAATTTTTTTTTAAGATTTGAAAGAACAAACATTAAACATTCATATATTGTACATTTATGTTCATTAAATGAATTGATTATTTAGGCAAATTAATTAATAATTCATCAAGGTTTTCAAAAGCAACTCATATATCAATGTAAATGACCCCCATCTTCACCCCCAAGTGCATGATGTTACTCCATACCAAGTTTGGAATAAAATGACAGGTGATTATAAAACAGTTAGTCAAACATTCTCAGCTTAACACTGCTTGAATGATTTATATGTTTTCTTTAAAATGAGCCATAAATGAAAATTATTAAAGGCCCAGAAATAATTTAATAAATAATTAAAGTAAATTCAATTAACCTAGACTCATTTTTGCATCAATAAAATTTTATAATAAACAAAAAATAATTGTAACAGGATGCCGTTACGAAGTCTCCCAAACAAAGCCCCCATAATTAGTCATTCCCATGGTCTCCTGACATTGGGCAAAGTCCAGTTCATATTGGTTTGGTGTAGTAAAGTGATATGTATATGTGACACCTAGGAGATTGACCCTGTATGTCATTCAAATCTCTTTGAAATGATGAACAGGAATAAATATGGTTTAGGTGTGGGTATCTTGACCGTTTACAAGTTCTCAAACAGGAGGGGGTGGGGTGACCCCAGGGACTCCCCCTATATTTCATTTGATTTGTTATATTTTCCCATACATGAATACATATGGTTTAGGGGTGGGGATCTCGACCATTTCCAAGTTCTCAAACACGAGGGGTGGGTGACCCCAGGGACTCCCCAAATATTTCATTTGATTTGTTATATTGTCCCATATATATATGAATATATATGGTTTAGGGGTGGGGATCTTGACTGTTTACAAGTTCTCAAACAAGAGGGGGTGAGGTGTCCCCATGGACTCCCCCTATATTTCATTTGATTTGTTTTATTGTCCCATACATGATTATATATGGTTTAGGGGTGGGGATCTCGACCATTTCCAAGATCTCTAACAAGAGGGGGTGGGGTAACCCGAGGAACTCCCCATATATTTTATTTGATTTGTTATATTGTCCCATACATGAATATATATGGTTTAGGGGTGGGGATCTTGACTGTTTACAAGTTCTCAAATAGGAGGGGGTGGGGTGTCCCCAGGGACTCCCCCTATATTTCATTTGATTTGTTTTATTGTCCCATACATGAATGTATATGGTTTAGGGGTTGGGATCTCAACCATTTCCAAGTTCTCAAACAGGAGGGGTTGGGGTGACCCCAGGGACTCCTCCTATATTTCATTTGATTTGTTTTATTGTCCCATACATGAATATATATGGTTTAGGGGTGGGGATCTTGACTGTTTACAAGTTCTCAAACAGGAGGGGGTGGGGTGACCCCAGGGACTCCCCCTATATTTCATTTGATTTGTTTTATTGTCCCATACATGAATATATATGGTTTAGGGGTGGGGATCTCGACCATTTCCAAGTTCTCAAACATGAAGGGGTTGGACGACACCGGGGACTCCCCCTATATTTCATTTGATTTGTTTTATTGTCCCATACATGAATATATATGGTTTAGGGGTGGGGATCTCGACCATTTCCAAGTTCTCAAACATGAAGGGGTTGGATGACACCGGGGACTCCCCCAAATTATTTTCATTTGATTTCTTTTATTGTCCCATACAAGTATATATATTGTTTAGGGGTGGGGATCGCGACGGTTTACAAGATAAAAGTACATTTTCAAAATGAAGGGAGTTGGGATGACCCCCAGGGACTCACCCTATATTTTGGTTGATTTTTTGTTATTGTCCTGTTCTCATTACTGAAGACTGCATGTGTCTATCACTTACTGTTTTTGAGAAATAATCATTTGAAAATTTAAAAAAATAAAATCCCATAGGGTTCTATAGTAAACCCCTCCCTTCTTCAGGCCCTCCAAATACCCCTAAATAGACCCAGATGCACAAACAAAAGATGAATGGCTCTGCTAGACATGTCAGTCTAATATTTTATGAACCCCTAAGTAAATCTGATAAACGGTCAAAGTTGTCTTCTTAAGACGGTTTGAGTGGATTCGGTCTGACTTGTCTCGGGGACGAGTTGTCCACATTACTTAAAACATCCCATCAACGTCGATTTCCGCATCTGTTTCATGACCTCGTTTCATTCATAAAATAACAACAACCTTATTTGGCAAGATAAGTTAAAAATTACTGCCCACTTATATAACTTTATTTCCTCTATCATAGAGATTTGTTGTACATGAACAATATTCCTGCGCATTTTGCCATTTGGGAAATATAAACGACTTGTTATTACCGATTTTTGGCGATGAAATATTTCATACAATTGTTCTTTGACACCGTAGCCAAAAGCACAGGGGATAATAAACTACGTACTTATTTCTATTGAGCACTTATTCCTATGTGCAACTTCAAAAGTTTTGGGTAGTTCGACGATCATTTAAGGTTTTTCTGGTCATATTTTTTGTATTCCAGAAATAAAAGTATTAAAAAAGTGTCCAATTAGTTATAAATAACATAATAGCCAGCTAGATAATAACAATGGCACGTATACCAGCATTTATTGGGTAGAACACAAATCTAGGGTGCTCGCATAAGGCAGCTTAACTGCCTAAAAATAACTCCTAGAGTCATTAAAACGTTATAATAGCATTGTAATGTAAAGCATCTTACTGACACAGAATAATATTTTTGAAGCAACTGACATTTTTGCTACTGATATACAGTGTAGACTTGTGGCTCAATTCTAAACTAAATTTGAAATATTCAATTGAGAAATTGATGTTTCTTTCAAATAAATATCAGGATAATTAAACATTAAAAGAATTATTTAACTGTGCTATATTTGCTTGCCAAGACAGTTATTATCAAATACATGAAAATTAAAATCTATTTGGATGGATGGCTGTTTAATGTTCTGTGGCAAATTAAATGCACATTCAAGACGAGAACATGATACATTTATTTGGAAGAAAATATGCCCAACCATTTGCATTGTACCCGTTTAGTATTTCTTGAAATCTTGTGATTTAAAGATAATGACTAAACTGAACTTGAGGGGAATAAAAATTTGTACGGGTTCCGCGGAACCCAGTGTCTCGCCTATTTTTGCTGTTAATCGCAGGCTCAACAAACTACCCAGGGGCCTAACTAATATTCTCATTCTAGTGTCATTTACACCATTACAAAAGCATTAAATCAGCTTTGGAAGTCCAAGTGATCAACAGCAATAGATGTACAAAGGAGCATCAGCAATAAAGTAGGTAATATAATTAAGTAAAACTAACATGTTTTGTTTCAAACTCTCTCCACTTTGCTAGTTCTCTGGAGGCTAGTTCATCTGGGGTCATCCGTATCAGTTTACTTGGCTTTAACTCTCCATTCAATATCTTTCTAAATAAACCCTGAAAAAAATAGGTAGTCACAAGTGATATCATGTTTAAAGAATTTTCCGGTAAATTGTGATTTACTGGGCCATCATGGTCCGTGTATCATTTTCCATGTTATATTTTGTATTTATATATATATTTAGTTTAACCCCGCCACATTCTGTATGTGCCTGTCCCAAGTCAGAAGCCTGTAATTATGTAGTTGTTGTTCGTTGCTGTATATCATATTTGTTTTTTGTTCATTATTTTGTACATAAATCAGGCTGATAGTTTTCTTGTTTGAATTGTTTTACATTTGTCATTTCGGGGCCTTTTATAGCTGACTATGCTGTATTGGTTTTGCTCATTGTTGAAGGCCGTATGGTGACCTATAATTGTAAACTTCTATGTCATTTGGTCTGTGGTGGAGAGTTGTCTCATTGGCAATCATACCACATCTTCTTTTTTTTTAAATTTATACGGTATTGCACTTGGCACTATCTTAAACAATTCACTTACTTACATTCTATTTTGTTGGGTTTGATAATATTTTCCTATGTAATAATTGGTTTACTATCTTGGTATTTTTGGGGGGCTATTTTGCAATAGAATTGTCATTTGTTAATCAAAATATCCTTTTTGAAAACAATTTCAGTATTGTTTGCTTTTATCTATACATCTTTTTGAGACTACTCACTAGAACTATTAAGAGCTTGACATATTCTATAGATACATGTGGTGTTTAAGACTATTTGTTGCACTCTAAATGTGTTCTGATAATTTGTTTCTTTTATAATTTTTTTTATGTATGATCTATTGTTTTTAAATTAAAACTGAAAAATGTACCTTTAACAGCAGTTTTTTCTGTTTCAGATTTAATGAAAATACTTGAAAAGTTTTTCTGCAGTCCATTTGATCAATGCATATAACTTATATTGTAGTGTAGTAATCTCACTTATTTATAAAAGAGGGTTGAACAACCTCACTAGATACCATTAAACCTCGATGCACTGAACCAATAGGGAATTCCACTCCATTCCTACCTTGTTTTTAATATCTTTGATGTTAAATATCAGACTACGATATTTATTTTTATATTTGTGACCCGTTTCTTTGAAGAAGCTGAACAGTTCATTTTCAATATCTAGTGACAGTGACTTTATCTCACTTAGAGACACCATAACATCATCAGCTTTATCAGCCCTAAAAAACAACATACTTCTTTATTTGAGGAGGTTTGCTTCTCAGGGCTATTCCATTAAAATGTATGTGGGAGGGTAGGAAGGGACATACAAAATATCCCTACAACCAAGAACCATTTTCTAGATAATTTTGCATAATGGCAATAGACTCATACTGAAAAAAGACCCATGACCAACATTCAATAGTTAAACTTCCCTTCCTACCCTCCCACATACATTTTAATGGAATAGCCCTCACATTCAATTCTTTTCCTTATACATTAAAATATTTTGTCTAGCAACTACTGTAATCCAACTAATTTTGGTGAGTTATTAATCCACTTGACTTTCAACAAGAAAAATAACAAATTTATGCAAATATACTGAGTAAAAAACTTTAACAACAAATAATTTTAATTTCATATTTTGATATTTTACTATACTTCTAATCATATCAATGAAAAAATTATTGTAACAGAAAAAGAAAATAAGCAATAAGACACTATATTAACTTGACAAAAACTTGATTTTAAAATTTATTTCTGCAACTTTGAAAATTTTTAAATTTCAACTTTTATAATCAAAATATATGTTGCTAAACTTTTATACTCAGTATATGTTAAACCTGGATCTTCTCCTAAATAAATTGTACAATATTATGATACCTATAATATACATATGAATACATCAACAAAGATAGAAAATCTTAATTTTCAATTTTTTTAAGTTTAACTTGTTCTTCTTTCCTGAAGTAGATTAAGGATATTCATCTGCTAAAATTTACAAGTGATTTGAAGTCAGCCAACCACGACCGGTCTGTGTTTTTGTTTGATGTTTTTTCTGCTTTGTATGGATCTGATGAGTTAAACCTTTTTTAACTGATATTTATAGTTTGTTCTTATGTTGTGCTGTAACACCACTGCCAGGTTAGGGGAAGGGTCGAACACTCACAAACATGTTTATCCCCGCCACATTCTTTGTGTGCCTGTCCAAAGTCAGGAGCCTGTAGCTCAGTGGTTGTCGTTGGTTCAAGTCTGTCATATTTGTTTTGTTTTGTTAGAAATTAGGTTGTTAGTTTTCTCAACTTTGAATTGTTTCATATTTACATGTCGGGGCTTTTTATAGCCGACTATACAGTATGGGTTTTTCTCATTGTTGAAGGCCGTACGGTTGCCTTTAATTGCTTACATCCACTTCATTTGAACTTTGGTGGATAGTTGTCTCATTGGCAATCCTACCACATCTCCTTATTTGTCCCCTACCGACGAAGTCAGAGGAGACTTTAGGTTTGCACTCTGTCCATCTGTCTGTCCATCCGTCAGTCCAGCAAATCAGTTTTCCAGACTTTTTTTCTTCATGCTTGAAGATATTGATTTGATATTTGGTGTATTGTTTTATCATGACAAGTTACAGGTCAAGTTCTATTTTCACGATTTTAGCTTTTCTCCTTGTTCAGTTAAACCCCTTTCCCTAGAATTAAATTTTTGATGAAATACTTATTTAAAATTACTAGATTTCTGTTCAAGAGGAAATAACTAATTTTTTTTTTTTTAAAGATTTGTAAAAGACATTGTATTAAGATGAATGACATTTTGGATTTTTTTCCTTTTCTTTAGTAAATTGTTTGAAGAATTTAGTGGTAGGTTTGCTCCATTACAATGAATTTTTAACCGGTAGGGGACTATGTATTGCCATGCAATACTAACAGAATGCTTGTTTTTATAGTTATAGATCCTTTTAAATATATCTTTCTCAACATATACTTCCATATTTTTTAAACATTTTTTTCTTGAATAAAGATATCAAACTTCTATTTCTGTTTTACAGCATATCAAACCATTCTGTACCTTGATGCTAAAGCATCTCTAAGTGACTTTCTAACATTGAGTCTGATTGGATCAGGACCGCTATCTTCTGCCTTAGTCTCTGTTTTCCCCTTGTCTGTCTTCTCATCTCTTGATTCCTTTTTATTTTTATCTGTCTTTTCCTCTTTCTTACTTGATGGTTTTTTACTGGAATGTTTGTCATCATGTTTTTTATGAGTACTATGTGATTTTTGGTCTTTGGATGAATCTGAATGGGACTTTTTTCGTTCTTTAGATGAATCGCTCTTCCTATCCTTACTGCCGTCCTTTCTGTCTTTATTATGATCTTTGTTGCTATGGTGATGATGTTTATTGCCATTGTGAGAGCTCTTTTCGTGCTGTTCAGGATGATTGTGATGTGACTCTTTCTCCTGTTTGCCTACAACTAATGAAATACTTTGTTAGTAGGTGGTAAAAATGACAAAATTCTTAAGTGGAATGAATGGTCAATAACCTGAATATGTTAGCAGAAGAAATTTTGGTGAGTAGGGTTGTATAAGACACTTACTGACAGTTACCTTGACCTCTATAACACTAGGAAGAAGGAATATTGGTGAGTAGGGCTGTATAAGATACTTACTGACAGGTACCTTGACCTTTATAATGCTAGGAAGAAGGAATATTGGTGAGTAGGGTTGTATAAGATACTTACTGACAGTTACCTTGACCTTTATAACGCTAGGAAGAAGGAATAAGTATACAAATTTTCTCTCAAATGTCCACTACCAATGCACATATTTTATCTGTCCAAGGTCAATAACTCCAGTATATTTTTTTTCATAAATATCCTTAAGGAAATGAAAACATGAGATTGCTAACAAACCAATTTGGATGCTAACAAACCAATTTGCCTAATAATTCTTATTACCAAGAGGCATAACTCCTGTACAAATAGTTTTTCAGTGCTGATTATTGAACTTGTCCAGACAAATTGTTGATATAAATCTTGAATTTAAATTTAATTAAATCAGACAAGATTTCATTTTGTGAGGTAGCCTACAAGTCAAGACTGAACGACAGATACTTAGTATTTTTATGTTCCCTGCACTGCTTGGCAGATGGGGGCCAATAATCGGAGGAAAAACAAAATATGAAGGACTTTTCTCCAGCCAGGCACACAGCTCAAACTTTATTAGATACTTACTGTCAGTAGCTTTGAGATTATTAATACTAGGAAGGAGCACGGAGTATGAAGGACTTTTCTCCAGCCAGGCACACAGCTCAGACTTTATTAGATACTTACTGTCAGTAGCTTTAAGCTTTTTAATACTAAGAAGGAGCACGGAGTATGAAGGACTTTTCTCCAGCCAGGCACACAGCTCAGACTTTATTAGATACTTACTGTCAGTAGCTTTAAGCTTTTTAATACTAAGAAGGAGCACAGAGTATGAAGGATTTTTCTCCAGCCAGGCACACAGCTCAGACTTTATTAGATACTTACTGTCAGTAGCTTTAAGCTTTTTAATACTAAGAAGGAGCACGGAGTATGAAGGACTTTTCTCCAGCCAGGCACACAGCTCAGACTTTATTAGATACTTACTGTCAGTAGCTTTAAGCTTTTTAATACTAAGAAGGAGCACAGAGTATGAAGGATTTTTCTCCAGCCAGGCACACAGCTCAGACTTTATTAGATACTTACTGTCAGTAGCTTTAAGCTTTTTAATACTAAGAAGGAGCACGGAGTATGAAGGACTTTTCTCCAGCCAGGCACACAGCTCAGACTTTATTAGATACTTACTGTCAGTAGCTTTAAGCTTTTTAATACTAAGAAGGAGCACGGAGTATGAAGGACTTTTCTCCAGCCAGGCACACAGCTCAGACTTTATTAGATACTTACTGTCAGTAGCTTTAAGCTTTTTAATACTAAGAAGGAGCACGGAGTATGAAGGACTTTTCTCCAGCCAGGCACACAGCTCAGACTTTATTAGATACTTACTGTCAGTAGCTTTAAGCTTTTTAATACTAAGAAGGAGCACAGAGTATGAAGGATTTTTCTCCAGCCAGGCACACAGCTCAGACTTTATTAGATACTTACTGTCAGTAGCTTTAAGCTTTTTAATACTAAGAAGGAGCACGGAGTATGAAGGACTTTTCTCCAGCCAGGCACACAGCTCAGACTTTATTAGATACTTACTGTCAGTAGCTTTAAGCTTTTTAATACTAAGAAGGAGCACGGAGTATGAAGGACTTTTCTCCAGCCAGGCACACAGCTCAGACTTTATTAGATACTTACTGTCAGTAGCTTTAAGCTTTTTAATACTAAGAAGGAGCACAGAGTATGAAGGATTTTTCTCCAGCCAGGCACACAGCTCAGACTTTATTAGATACTTACTGTCAGTAGCTTTAAGCTTTTTAATACTAAGAAGGAGCACGGAGTATGAAGGACTTTTCTCCAGCCAGACACACAGCTCAAACTTTATTAGATACTTACTGTCAGTAGCTTTAAGCTTTTTAATACTAAGAAGGAGCACGGAGTATGAAGGACTTTTCTCCAGCCAGACACACAGCTCAAACTTTATTAGATACAATGTACTTACTGTCAGTAGCTTTAAGATTTTTAATACTAGGAAGGAGCACGGAGTATGAAGGATTTTTCTCCAGCCAGGCACACAGCTCAGACTTTATTAGATACTTACTGTCAGTAGCTTTAAGCTTTTTAATACTAGGAAGGAGCACAGAGTATGAAGGATTTTTCTCCAGCCAGGCACACAGCTCAAATTTTATTAGATACTTACTGTCAGTAGCTTTAAGCTTTTTAATACTAGGAAGGAGCACCGAGTATGGAGAATTTTTCTCCAGCCAGACACACCGCTCAGACTTTATTAGATACTTACTGTCAGTAGCTTTCAACTTTTTAATACTAGGAAGGAGCACGGAGTATGAAGGACTTTTCTCCAGCCAGGCACACAGCTCAAACTTTATTAGATACTTACTGTCAGTAGCTTTAAGCTTTTTAATACTAGGAAGGAACACAGAGTATGAAGGACTTTTCTCCAGCCAGACACACAGCTCAAACTTTATTAGATACTTACTGTCAGTAGCTTTGAGATTTTTAATACTAGGAAGGTGCACAGAGTATGAAGGATTTTTCTCCAGCCAGGCACACCGCTCAGACTTTATTAGATACTTACTGTCAGAAGCTTTAAGCTTTTTAATACTTGGAAGGAGCACAGAGTATGAAGGATTTTTCTCCAGCCAGGCACATAGCTCAGCCTCTGTGGGAGCCTTGTCACCAGTAAGTATTTTGCCAGTTGTCTTCTCAATAACCACAATTCTTTTGTCACCAGTTAGCTGTAAAACACAAAAGCAAATTGTTCCTAACATTATTTGACAATCATTTAATATAATTTTCCCACCTGACTTCATTACTGACATGCTATTAAGGTGAGCAAAATGTTTAATTATTTCAATAAAATCCTTTAAAAGTCTAGTCCTTATTAAATTTGCTATCTATTAATATCAGGTTATTGTTATCTTTTATTAGCAGGTTCTTGTTATCTATTATTAGCAGGTTCTTGTTATCTATTATTACCAGGTTCTTGTTATCTATTATTACCAGGTTCTTGTTATCTATTAATAGCAGGTTCTTGCTATCTATTATTAGCAGGTTCTAGTTTAACATAATTAATTATTTATTATTAGCAGGTTCTAGTTTAACATAATTAATTATTTATTATTAGCAGGTTCTAGTTTAACATAATTAATTATTTATTATTAGCAGGTTCTAGTTTAACATAATTAATTATTTATTATTAGCAGGTTCTTGTTTAACATAATTAATTATCTATTATTAGCAGGTTCTTGTTTAATATAATCAATTATTTATTATTAGCAGGTTCTAGTTTAACATAATTAATGTACATGAAATTCTTCCAAATTTGAAATTTCTACAGAACACTGATTCAAATTTAGAAACTTATTTACAAATCTGAGAGGGAGTTGTGGACATTTTCCTTCATAAATATGCGAATTGTTTAACACTGACGTAGGGTTGTTTGGTTAATATATTTGTATTTAAATGTAAACCTGTAAGTTGATGTGCAAGGTACATTAATCTTCTAATTAATTTAATACTTCAAATAATCAGATAACGTTAATTCAGATATCAAAATTTAATATACCGGTAAAAATAAATTATGCTAGAACCACTTCTATTAAGTAAGATAAAAACTGACAAATGGTTTATACAGCACCTAAAATACCATTAACAATTCATTATCTGAAAAAAATCAACATAACTAAATTGTACTCTTGTCTATATTCCATTCCATTGTTTCTATTTTCTGTAATGACCTATGTTCTATCGAGCAACATGAGACTAAGTCAGACAAAACCTGTGTTTCTTGCTCTTGTTTCCTAATCCCAATTAATGAATCACTTGTATAGTCCGTATTTATTTCTTTACTCTTGTAGCTATACATAACGGTTTCTTTAATAAAATATGTTTACACTAAAACCTGTGTCAATTATATAGGTACATTGTATTAACAATGGACACTCATCCAAACATACTAAGTTTATTTTTTGTCACACAATAATCTATATCCCTTGAAGAAATTCTAAAGGAAACTTTTACCTTCTTAAACAAATAAAATTGTTCGAAAAATGTTTTAAGAAGTCTGGATCATCTTTGTGGAACAATTAATTATATATATTTGTCTTCACCTTCAAACATTGTTACAGCTGTTAATTAATATAGTACTTCAGAGATCATTTCAGATATCTAAAAGTTTCCATTTTGGAATAGCTGTTGTAACTAGCTTACTGAGAAGTCCTCTTTCATTGGGAAGAATTAATCGTCATCGATGTAATAAACTGTTATCATGCTTAACTAAGTGAACAAATCATTAAGAAATGTACAAATACGGGAAAACAATCAGGGTTCAATACCATAGCAGCTAGACAGCCTCCATGTCCTAGATATCTATCTATGTTGAATGATATGCTAAATAGCTAGGCTATCCAAATGAAGTCATTAATAATTACCTATCTGACACCATTTTTGATTCTCTAGATAGCCTAAAACATTCAGGCTATCTAGATCTATTTAGCAGCTAGGCTAGCTATACGTTCAGTAGTCGAAATCTACGTAGCCCTACGTAGCAGCTATGATATTGAACGCACCCCTGATAGGCACTACTTTTATTACTTTAAGTCTGTCTATAGTGTCTACTCTCTATTGAATTATTTATCATAATCTTTTACGAATTTTATAGTATAGTATTAGTTTCATAGTCAAATGAACAGTGTTCTCCCTTAAGCATATTAGTGCCACAGTACTCTGATAGACAACTATTTAACATGGATTTTGTCTTTACACCTGACCACTTAAATTTAACATCAGACTGTGTAAAAATGTTCGACATGACAGTTTAACACATTTTCCTAAGGTATTCTACGTTCATGTTAAAGGATGAAAAGAAAATAAAAGTACTCTGTCTTCACTCTAAGATGAAAATGACACCCAAGCTTTAGTGTAGATTTTCATCCTGATCATATCAATACTAAACTTTTTTAAAGTTTTAGTTCAAAATTTAGCTTATATAATGCCAAAAACAAAAAAAAACAAGTGAAACTGCGAGCTACTGCTCACTGATGATACCCCCGCTAAAGTACTTGACGGTAAACAGGAAGTTGTTAAGTGATGAATCTGAAAACGCATCACACGGTTTAGCTGACTTATATAAATTTCAGAAATCCTTATGATGTAGTTCCTAAGAAAAATGAGACGAAAAATATTCATGGGATGGATGGATGGACGGACAGACAGAGGTAAAACAGCATACCCCCACTTTTTCAAAGCGGGGGTATTTCAAAGTGGGGGTGTGAAAATTATCTATATGAACATTTCCTCTGCACCACAATGCTATTTGAAAATGAAATTTTGGGGTAGAGTACTGCATAAATATATGAAAATGAGTATATTTCATTTATAGAGCATATTAAATATCATCCTAAAATTGGTAAATGAATTTTATTGTGCAACAATATTTATTACATGAATTTTATAGTGCAACAATATTTATTACATAACAACATATAAACTTAAGTGTATCCAAATAACAATGAAAAAAAACATGATAAATTTGTTGATAAAATGAGAAATAGGATAAGTGAAATATCTGTTCTCGGCAAATGATTGGTTGAAGTATAATTATGACGTCAGATTTCTTGATTTCTTCTGAATTTCCTATTGTGACGTCATGAAATAAAATGCTCCGCTGGGCGCAGCTTGATACGACCGCAGAGGTCGAACCCTGAACAGTTGGGGCAAGTATGGATACAACATTCAAGCTTGATACAGCACTGAATTTGGATTGTAATTAAATATTTGACAATGCATAGGTTTCTGACACAGAATGAATGTGGTCTAAGAACTTAAAAAATTTTAATTTACCTATTCAAACCATATCATTATTATTTGCTTTTATATATAAATCAGAAATAACCAATTTAAAATGGAAAATTTAAAAGAAAAAAAAGGAAAAAAAAATCCCCCCCCCCCCCCCAATTTTTTGAACCCCCTTATGATTCATCACCCCCAAACTCAATCCCAGCCTTCCCTTTGGGGTATGGTACCTTGCAGTACAATTTCAGAGAGATCCATACACTTGAACACAAGTTATTGTCTGGAAACTAGAAAAATGCTTGTTTTTTGGCCCCTTATTCCTAAATGTTTAGGGCAATTACCCCCAAACTCAAACCCAGCTTTCCCTTTGTGATATGGAACCTTGTAGTACAATTTCATAGAGATCCATACACTTACACACAAGTTATTGTCCTGAAACTAGAAACATGCTTGTTTTTTGCCCCTTTTTGGCCCCTAATTCCTAAAATTTTGAGGCGATTACCCCCAAAATCAATCCCAGCCTTCCCTTTGTGGTATGGTACCTTGCAGTACAATTTCAGAGAGATCCATAAACTTGAACACAAGTTATTGTCTGGAAACTAGAAAAATGCTTGTTTTTTGGCCCCAAATTCCTAAACTTTTAGGGCAATTACCCTCAAACTCAAACCCAGCTTTCCCTTTGTGATATGGAACCTTGTAGTACAATTTCAGAGAGATCCATACACTTGAACACAAGTTATTGTCTGGAAACTAGAAAAATGCTTGTTTTTTTGGCCCCTTTTTGGCCCCAAATTCCTAAAATTTGGAAGCAATTACCCCCAAATCAATCCCAGCATTCCTTTTGTGATATGGAACCTTGTGGTACAATGTCAGAGAGATCCATACACTAACACACAAGTTATGTCTGGAAGTTAGAAAAATGCTTATTTTTGGTCCCTTTTTGGCCCCTAATTCCTTAACTGTTGGTACCATAACCCCCAAAATCAATCCCAACCTTCCTTTTCTGGTATTGAACCTTATGGTAAAATTTCATAGAGAACACATTCACTTAAACTAAAGTTAGAGTGGGAAAACCAATGTGTCTTCGGACGACGACGCCAACGTCATACCAATATACGACTTTGCGGTCGTATAAAAAGGCGACCATGCCTGATGACATCAAATATAAAGAACACAACTTTCTGCAAATCTTTGAAAAAGAAAGGATATAAATCATTAGAGAAACAGATTCCACCACTATAACTCATGTATTACGATATTTCTCCATTCTCAACAGTTAAATTTCAATTATTTAAAAAGTTCGGCAAGCCTCGTTCTTTAAATATTAAAATTTAGCTGACTAGCTAGGAGAATTATCGTAACACACTTGTTTCAGTGGTGGAATCTATGTTTTTGTATTTACAATAGCTATTAAAATAAACAAAATTTATGGTTCAACTAACAAAGCAAACACAAAGTACAGTGTAAATCTGACTAAGCAATGTTAAGTTTGCTTGTTACTAATCAATGATCATTGTAGTGATCCATTAAATACTTGTTTCCTATTATACAGTGAATTAAATCTTCTAAAGAGAATAAAGACCAGCAGGCAGGTGTTAGCCAATTAATGACAATGACAATATTGATGATATATACATGTATATGGTCTATTCAAAATAACATCAAAAATGTGGTGTACACTGAATAACCCATGTAGCAGGGTTTTTTTAAAGTATGCACCACATTTTTGAGGTTATTTCGAATAAACAGAAAAAAAATTTCAGTCAGTCCTTATAATTTAATTCTAAATTCTCTTTTCAAAGAGTAAAACATGAAAATACGTTAATGACGTCACAGTCAGATGACAAAATTATGTCTAGACAAAAAACTTTCAGCCAATCAGAAGATGAGTTACACATGTTACATCCAAAATTAAATTATTTACTATTCAACTTTATTTGTAAAACAATTGTCACTCTTGAATTTCAAAAATTACTTTTAGTGTCCCAATATTTGTGGATTTTAAAAGTGGAAATACGAAAAATACAGAATTATTCATGATTTCAGAGAACCCTATAAGAGTCAATGTACCAGTTTATATGTAGTGCTTAAAGCAAAGACACTACATGTCTCAATGATTGCAAAGAAACTTTTAAACACAATATGAATACTAGGGAATTCAACACATTTGTTGTAGTTTTATACGTGTTATACAGTTGTAAAAGTATTAATGCTTTGCTTCAACCATTATGTTCTATGGTCATTGTTTTTACTTCTAAATGAAATTACAGATACAAAAGGATAATGGATTGATCATGTTGATTTATGGCTGTTTTGATGTCAAGCAGCAAATATTATATGCATATTCATAAAGATTACAAAAAAAGATGCAAACAAAAACAATCCTTAAATGATGTTCTAATTAATAAATGAATGATTTCCTTTCAACCTTTTTTCAAAATTGGAATTCTGTTAACAAATGCTTGTCATGTATGTTAGACTATTAAGCAAAGAGAGGAAATTAAAAATAAACAGTTGACTGTTCCCATATTTATAAGAGAGTAAACCTAGATAAGTAACAACATGCAGGTGCTCTTACCTTATTAGGCCTCTGACAAGAGTAATTAAAATAAATAAATAAAATGTGGTTAATTTGTTTACAACATTTACTGTATCTGTACCATCCAACAACTGAATTTTCTCTAGAATAAACACATTATCAAATACTGTAGGTTAACTTGTTTTAGAAATTAGTGAATATACATTTGTAATTTATTTTGTAAACTTTTATTCCGAATAAATTATTAGAAATTACCATAAGTTATAGTGAATAGATTATAATAAATATATAACAGGAAATAGTTTTATGTCAAGAAGTTATCATTTCCTCAAGTTCACGTGTGTGAATTCATTACAATTCTAAGATACTCATTTTCATGGATTTAGTTCGAAGGGTTAACCTAGAATTTTAATGCGCACCAAAACCAAAATTCCCTTTAGGCTCAAAGCATTTGTAACAACCATTATTTCAAGAGTCTATGAAAATGCCAATTTTCACTCAATTCTCTAAAATTAGTACCCATGATATCATATGATTCCACACTACTTTTGATACATCATTATTTGTTGGATACCAATTTTTGATAATTTTGAGGGTTTAGAGGAACCACTTATTTAAATGTTGACAGATGTGCAAACTTTCTACAGACTTGTACACCGATTTTAGCAAAATCAAATATCCATGAAAATACAATTTTTCCAAATCCAAAAATAAAATCAACAAAAATTGGTACCCAAGAAAATACATGAATCCACAGTATTAGAGATGAAGTCAAAAGACCACGGTTATATTTGACAATACAGATAAACATGCAATTGAGTTTAGAGATTAAAGTGACTACCTTGACAGGCTGTTCTTGCTGACTATGTATAATATTAAGCGAGTCTTGTGAATGATTGATGATACACTCGTTACTACAATACACGGAATCCCACCTCGACAGTTTGCCACATTTAGGTCCTATACATCGTGGTAAGTTTTCCTGTTAATTATATTCATTATCGTTATCTTGTTGTGTAATGATGATTCCGCTGTATTCACAAGATCTACACGGACTTGTAATCAGTTCACCATATAAAAATAAGAAGATGTGGTACGATTCACAATGAAACAACTCGCAACCAGTGACCAAATGACATAGAAATTAACAACTATTGGTCACCATACAGCCTTCAACAATGAGCAAAACCCATACTGCATACCATGTATTCTTTAATTGTGAGATACTTACATTAGTGGCAAACTTCCATGTATTTACCCAACAAATAGAAGATGGAGTTTGGTTTACCTTTAAGTCATTAAGTGGGAAATGTCAAGAAAGTCCAAATCCCGATCATAAGCACACTATTAATATATAAACGAAATAGTATCCTGCATAACAATAAAGATTTAGTTTGAAAACTGTAGGAGTTAGAAGTACAAACCATGCACCCTGTATGCATAATTTCATTAAAATGACAATGTTCAACATTCTGTTGTTTGTGGTATTTTTAAGAAAACCCAAATCCTTGAATATGAATATGCAAACCTTTTATATATGAACAAACACTGAGCATAAGATAAAAGTTCTAGCATGAAAGATGTTTAGAAATTAGCTGTACAAACCATGTACCCTGCATGCCTTTATATATATAAAAAAAATGAAGGTCAAACAGCCTGACATCAGGTCATTAGCAAAATTTGTTTAAGAAAATCAAAATGCGGATAACATGGACACCTCTAACATATATGTTCTCACATCCTACATAATAAAAGTTCTTGCTCGAGAATTGTGATTTACAGGGTCCTGCCTTGGGTTTGGGACAGGAACAAACAGAATTTGGTGGGACCGGACTATAATTTTCACAGAATTTGGTGGGACTGGACTATAATTTTCTGATTCATAGTTCCCATCAATCCATTTTTTAAAATCTTTCAAAGCAGTTAATAAATTCTGCAACTGAAAACAAAAACAGTAACTCTTAAATTGTAAGTCAACAACTGCCACAGAAACACAAACAAACAGTTCAATCATAAACAAAATCCTGTAGTATATATACATGTAGTTACCTCTGATTTTTTCTGTTCTGTTGAAATTTTCTTGACAGGTGCCAATATTTTAGCTTTATCAGGAGTAAATATTTCCAGAAAATTCTCTGATTTTTCAGCTTTCTTCTCTGATTTTCCAGGTGTGACTGAAACTTTATCTGATTTTTCAGAGGTGCTTGAGACCTCAGATTTTCCAGTTGTCCCACCTTTTTCAATTTTACCAGGTGTGCTTATTGTCTTTTCTGATTTTACAGTTGTACCAGACTCCTTTTGAACTTTTCCAGGGGTAGTTGTTACCTTGACCTCTTGACCTTTTACTGTTCCTTTTTCAGTTTTTCCAGGTAAGGTCATGGCCTTTATCTCTTGTCCTTTAGCACCGACCACTTTTTGAACTTTTCCTCCAAGTAAGGAAACTTTTCCAATTGCTTCCTTAGAACCTTTTTTCATTATAGCAATCTCCGGTTTTTGCATTGTGACCTTTTTCTCGGTCTTCAAAGCAGGTGACCCTGCAGCAAGTTTTTGGTCACTGATTTTTGTAACAGAGACAGTTTTCTTTTCAACTTTTGGTGAAGCTGCAGGACTTTTGTCTTTATTTTCTTTTTTCTTATCTTCCATGAGTTTTTTCTTGGACTAAAAAAAAAAATAGTCAGGGCTTAAAATAAGAATGTAGACCTAGCTCTGATGCAGGACTAGTATCATAATGGTACATTCTAATAGCATTTTCTTTAACATGTAGTTAGAAAATACTTATGAGAGCCCACCTTTATTATAAGGACATCCTTTTTCACAAAATGAAGTAAAATGAATTGCATTAATAAAAGGTGCTACTGTTTATTTTCAAAAATTACTTTTAATAAAAAAAATGCTCTGGCTCAAGCTTTGCAACTAAATGGGACGGACAGACGAATGGACAGAAAGACGTATGGTCAAAAGTAACACTTAATGCCCCCGTCCCCTACAGCAGGTACATATAAATTCTAAATAAGTTTTGAATAATTAGTCATCCTTTCATGAATGCCAATGAATGTTTAATGTTTTTGACGTTATTTGGTGTTTAATACTGTAAGTCAAGTTAATCTCAGTCTGTTTATCTAGGCTTGTAGGACATGATTGCTTTCGAAATGCATACTGCTACTACTTAGCCCCAAACCTTAATTTAGATTAAGCTTAATTCATTTTACTCAATAAATTTAGTAGTACATTCAACTGGTATCATGAATGTCATAACTGATCTTTATATGAAAAAATAAGATATCCTTTGTCTTGGATCTTGTCAAAGATAATAGGCAAAAATGGGGAAGACCTCACTGTGACTTTCTAGATGAAGAACAGCATTAAAAGAGCTGTTCCTTTGCTTTTTGTGCTCTTTGCTGTGCATGTACTGATTTTGTGTCATGAACGGATACCACATATCCTTTGTTTTTCATTATTATCATTATTAGGCAAGAACTTCAACATGGAGTCGACTATCAATTTCAGTCATGTTGACTTATTTGTAGATCTTGTTTGACTGATCATATTTGCTATTTAAATTTCTATCTATCTATCATAGTTTTTAAGGTATTAGAAATAATGCAAAAAATTGGTAAAAATTATCATTAAAAGGCAATTACTCTAATAAAGAATTTTATCACGATTTTAGTCATGTTGACTTGTTTGTAGATCTTGCCTTCCTGATCATTTTAGCCATTTAATATTTCTGTCTATCTATTATAATTTTCGAGATAAAAGGCAAATATCTTTTAATGATAAAATTTGTCATTCAAGGGAAATAACTCCTATAAGAAATCTTCTGACAGGTGTACATGAACAATGGTAGAGCCCAACATTCTTAATACTTTCTTTATTTTATAGCGGTTTTCAAAATGATGCAAAACATGCATTTTACCCCTATGTTCTATTTTTAGACATGTCAGCCATCTTGGTTGGTGGGGTTATCACACACATTTTTTTAACAAGATATCCCAATCAAGATTGTGGCAAAGTTTGTTTGAATTTGGCCCAGTAGTTTCAGAGCAGAAGATTTTTGTAGAAGACAACAGCAAAGGACGACTGACCCGAGGTGATGAGAAAAGCTCACTTGCCCCTATGGGGAATGAAGATTTCTGACTGCATAACACATCTACTTCATTAGCTACACATGTGACCAAAATTTTGGACAGTGTTTTCTCAAGGGCTTTTTAGCATCAATGTAATGTAGATATCTATGTTTTGCCTAATTTGTGCCCCTATCAAATTAGCAACTATGTAAATACTTACCTGTATCTCTACTTTACCAGTTTTACCAGATTTGTCTCCCTTTTTCATTCCAGGCATCTTTACAATAAGAGGTTTAGACCCATTGCTTGTTCTACTGTCTTCTGTTTTGGACTTGCCTTTGATCTTTTCTATCTTTTCTTTCTCTGTAAGATAAATGTGTAAAGGTTTTACAGCAGCCCAGTGGTTCTTGTCACATGACCTCCAATGGTATAAATCTACATGTAATCAAACAAATATTTTTAACATTTTTCTGAGCCTTAAATATCTGCTATAGTGACAGAAAAATAAAATTAGACAAAAGAAATATTTTGGTGAACAGTTGAAATATATTGCAATGTCCAATAGCAATAAAAAAATTCCCATGAAGCAATATGAGCAAAAAAAGATGCTTCATGTCACATTTTTTTTAAATTGTGCAAAAGAAAATAGATTTAATTTTTTGTGGCCTTTGTGTCTATCTATACAATTGTTACAGATGGTTTTATCTATCATTTTGGCATTGAGATTGTCATAATTAATAGAGAAATAACAACATCTCCTGGACTTCCATGATATGGTAACCCCAGTATGTTTTTGAACTGCCATGCTATGGTAAACCCAGTATATTTAGGACTGCCATGATATGGTAAACCAAGTATATTTTGGATTTTCATGATATGGTAAACCGAGTATATTTTGGACTGCCATGATATGGTAAACACAGTATATTTTGGACTGCCATGATATGGTAAACACAGTATATTTTGGACTGCCATGATATGGTAAACCCAGTATATTTTGACTGCCATGACCCAGACCTAGTATATTTTGGACTGCCATCATATGGTAAACCCAGTATATTTTGGACTGCCATGATATGGTAAACCAAGTATATTTTGGACTGCCATGATATGGTAAACACAGTATATTTTGGACTGCCATGATATGGTAAACCAAGTATATTTTGGACTGCCATGATATGGTAAACACAGTATATTTTGGACTGCCATGATATGGTAAACACAGTATATTTTGACTGCCATGACCCAGACCTAGTATATTTTGGACTGCCATCATATGGTAAACCCAGTATATTTAGGACTGCCATGATATGGTAAACCCAGTATATTTTGACTGCCATGACCCAGACCTAGTATATTTTGGACTGCCATCATATGGTAAACCCAGTATATTTTGGACTGCCATGATATGGTAAACCCAGTATATTTTGGACTTCCATGATATGGTAAACCCAGTAGATTTTGGACTGCCATGATATGGTAAACCCAGTACATTTTGGACTGCCATGATATGGTAAACCCAGTATATTTTGGTAAACCCAGTATACTTTGGACTGCCATGATATGATAAACCCAATATATGTTGGACTGCTATCACATCAATATCCCTCTTTGTTTTCTCTCTCATGGTTAATACCAATACATTTCTACCTACCCTTACAGCCATCACATATATACTCCTCTTCTTTGTCTGCCATTTCTTTTCCTCTCTCACGGGTTATCCCAATACATTTACCATGGTACCAATTCTCACATTTATCACAGCAAATCATAAATCTGTAAATACCATGGCAACATTAATGAGTCTAAAAACAAAAGTCTACAAAACATGTAATAGAAAACTAAAGACTGAGCAACACGAAGCCCAACAAAAACCAGGGGTAATTAAAATGTGTATATGGCTTGCTGATTGAATCTACTTGATTTTGTTGTTTTGTTGCTGTCTCACTAACATAAACTGCATATCTCCATTTATAAACGAATACTATGAATATGCAAAAGGTTATTACTGTGGATTTAAGGAATAACAGTATGCCAAGTGGTGATTTGATGGTCACAAATACAGTTTTACTAGTGACATTTAGAGGATTCAATATATGTAATCAATTCAATATGGCGGTTCACTCCTTAGTTACGACATTCAACTGTGGATTTGACAGTAAATTTTCACCAATGAAAACTAGATATCATTGAGATGGGAGCCATCTCTGTGGGCCCCGCTGTGAATAATGTGTGGTAAAAAAATTGTATCTTTATCATTTGACATGGGGTTGTCAAATGAAACCAAAGTTTTTGACCTTGACCTTTGACCTAGGAAGTTGTACATAAATTATGACACACCCTCTGGTGTTGGTTTATATACATATCAAGTATAAACTTTGAAATCATAACAATTCTCAAGATATAGAGCGGACACGATCTTTACCATAGGACATGGGGCTGTCAACTAAAACCAAAGTTTTTGACCTTTGACCTAGGAAGTTGTACATACATTATGACACACCTTCTGGTGTTGGTTAATATACATGTCAAGTATAAACTTTGAAATCATAATGGTTCTCTAGATATAGAGCGGACACGATTTGTTATGGACGAACTGACTATGGATGGATGGACGGACGGACAGACAGACAGACGGACGGACAGACTGACCAATATAGGGTGTCCGCCATTCAGCTGGGCCCTAATAATTGTCAATAAAAATTGCATCAGAATCATTATTATTCATGGGATATCATTTTCATTTCATTTCATGGATATAGCTGAACCACGAATTTAATTGATCAACAAAATAAAAATATTCTATAGGCATGATAGGCTTATATACAAATTGTTGCGAAACAACAAAATCAGATATCCTTAAATTTTGCTCAAACCACAAAAATGAGTACCCCGTAACATAAAAGAATAGCCAGTAAATGCAACTACATGGTGGGTCTCATTGGGGTCTAAGCGTGGCATGGGATTGGCCGATTTTTTTGTAAACTTGACATATGAAAGTCAAATTATTGTGCGTGAAAAGGGAAACAAAGTCGTGCTGGATATGTGAATCTGACAATAAGGTGGATCCAGGTTCAGACCCCCCCTAATGAGACCCCTACATGTGGCTAACTCTGTACGTACTTGTTACCATATGGTTTATTACAGATACAGTATCTACGATCTGGAGGCTCATATTCTTCTTCACTGTCCATATCTTCTTCATCATCCTCCTCCTCCTCCTCCTCTTCATCGTCTTCTTCTGACTTTTCTTTTGCTTTTTCTATCACTACTAATAGAAATAGTAAACGTTTGCAATTCCCCGTTTCCTAATTTTTAAAAGGACTATGAGCATTCTATTGTTCATAAAAAAAAAAACAACAATAGCGTAATGTCATTGGATGAATTTCCATTGTTTAGGACATTGTTAGCCAATCACAAGATTTTAGACCACATGTTGTCCTTTTTTGTGTTGTAGAGTTGCTGTCTCATTGACCCCGTAATATCAATCTATTAAGGTAAGTAATTATTAATCTTTTCTACAAATTGCTTTAAACCCTTAAATTCTATGATAGAAACAATGTAGATTTTGTTTGGAAGTTTTGATGTAGAAATCTAATTAACATGTGTAATCCTGAGTTTGAGTTACAATGTAAGTTAAGAAATGAATGCTTCTTTCTGTAATTCTATTGGGGTGTAAAAGTATTGACCAAAGCACATTTTGTATGAAGCGCTACGATTCATTCTACATGTTCTAAAAATGTAAGCACGATTAACACTTTTACAACCCTATTAAGGTAGATCATAAGTATATATTTTTTGAGACAGAATTTTCTTATAATTTTCCAAAATGAAGATTTTACTATGCTTTTTTCAAAAATATAATAAAAAGTATGGGTCACCGTGCTATTTTGCAAGCTATGAATCGTTGAAAATTGCTTAAATTTGGTTAGATTGTTCATGAAAAAACACATTTGTGTGCATAAAAAAAATTCTATGAGATAGAATTTTGAAATAAATTGTGAGAAGATAGGTTTTATAATATGTTTTAAGAAAATAAAAAGAAAAAATTGTGTCACCGAACTTGTTTTCTTGCTACAAGTAAAAATTAAAAATTTCCCTATTAGTCCAGTATAAATTTTTTACTAAAAGAGTTATTTCCCCTGAAATAGCTCATTTAAAAAAATGAATCTTAAAACAAAAAAAATTGATATTTGTTTAAATATTTTCAAAAATACAATAAATCACCAAGTTTTCTTTATATAAATAAACAGTCTAACCATTAAATTGCAAATCTGTCTCCAAATTTGCAGATTTGGGCAAATAACTAGACCGATTTTGTACTGCAATTGTACAATCCAAGATGGCGGTATACCATGAATCTACCTTAAATTACTAAAAGCAGCATTCATTTCTTATAATTACATTTTTATGCCAAGACCATGAAAAAAAAAGTTTTATCAAGTTTTTCTTTTATTTACCTGTGCACTTTTTTGTGGAAGCACGTGTCATAACGAATGTAACATTTCATTTTGATATGAAGGTTAATTTTTGAATGGCGGGCACTTGTTGTTAGCCAATCAAACTAACAGATTCTCGTGAAACATACATGTAATGTAATTATTGGTTGTTGTTTGCCATCTGCTTTATTTGGGGTTCTTTTTGGTGTTTTGTTTGATTTTTTGGGGGGTATGAGCTGTAGGTCTTTTTCTTTTGAATTGTTTCACATTTTGTTTTCCGGGGACCTTTAATAGTTTGCTATATGGTATGGGTTTTGCTCATTGTTGAAGGCCCAACAGTGCCCTATAGTTGTTATAATCCTCATCGTTTGGTCTTCGGTAGATAGTTGGTCTAAATGACAATTATACCACAACTCACTATATTTATATGGTAAGAACTATTACTCCTCTATTAAACCTTACATTGCCGATCAATTTCACAAACTTACTTGGTTCTTTTTTCTCTTTCTCTTTCTCCTTTTCTTTTCCCTTTTTCTTTTTTTCCTCAACTTTTTCTACCTCCTTATCTGTACCTTCATCTTCAGACTTTGTTGTTTTCTTCCGCTGTTTTCTTGTTTCCTTTTTAAGAAATTCTTCAACAAGTGGATTTCGTACTCTTTTCCTCCTCAAAACACGACTATCTTCTTCCATTTCTGATCCAGTTATGTCGGATGTGTCTATATCACTAGAACTCTTGACTTCAGGAACTTTTCCACGCTTTTGCACTGTTTTCACCGGTTTTGTTTCTACCTTTGCTTTACTCACTGCAGTATCTTTTTGCAACACTTTTTCATCTTTATTTTTTGTTTTGTTCTCATCTATCTGAACCTCACTTTCTGTCACACTAGATGTACCTACATCTACTATATTTTCGTCTACGTGTTCACTTCCTTGTACACTTAAAACACTTTCAGTATGTGGAACAACTTCAGCTTGAAACTGAACAGCCTCCTCTGGCAGAGAGACAAATTCAATATTTTCTATTGTAGCCTCAAACTGAATGGGTTCTTCTTTGTCAGAATCTGAAGTTACCATAGATACTGATACAATTCCAAAGTTAGAATCAACAGAAGAATTCAAATCATCCGATTTTTCAGCAACTCTTTTGTATAGTTCCTTTATTTTAGTATTTTCATCATTACCCACCTTTGAAGGTGAAACTTCAGATTCATTTTCATGCAGTGAAGTTTGTTCAACAGACTTAAATTCAGTAGCAGATTTTTCATCAACTGCAACACTATTTTCAATTTCCTTTTCATCTGAATCAATTTTCACTTCAACTGTAACTACAATTGATTCATCATTTAAAACAACTGTATGATCCTGATCATTTGAAACTGAGTCATTACTATGTTTATCAGTATCATCAGTTTTTGTTTGTTCCTCATCTTTACGGATCACACCATCAGGCTTGAACAAATCAGTCATTGTAAGGTCTAGATATTCTTCTGATTTTCTAAATTTCTTTTTTACAGATTTTGGAGTTTTCATTTCACTGTTTTCCTCTTTTTTCTTAGAATCAAGAGAATCTTGCCGTGTTATATGAGAATCTTCACCACTTTCGTGTTTTAATTTGACTTTATCAGATTTGACCTTTTTCACATCAACACTGTCTGTTACTGAATGTTTACGTTTTAATGCACTTGATTCCATAATTTGCTTTGATAATGACTCAAAAATATTTTTATCAGAGGAAGTATCTTTCTTGATTGAACTTTTAACCTTAGTATTTTCTGATTTAATAGCACTTAATGGTTCATCCTCTTCATCACTACTTTCTTTATTGTCCTTTTTCATCTCAGCTTTTGCTTTTTCTTCCTTTCCTCCATTCTTCTTGACACTTTTATTTTTCTGAGCTTTACTATTTTCTTCTTCACTTGATAAATCTTCAGGTTCTTCCTTATTTCCTTTTTTGCCCTTTGACTTTCCTGATTTGGCCTTTTGACCTTCATCTGAGCCATGTTCTGATCCTTTACCTTGCTTTTTTCCTCCTTTTAATTTTTTCCTTTTTCCTTTCTTCAGAGACTCTTCCTCATCACTACACTCCTCTGATTCTTCCTTTACTTTCCCTTTCTTTCCTTTCTTTTTAGGTGATTCATTTTCAGATGTTTGTTTCCCCTTACCCTTTTTCCCTTTTTGAGTTTTAATATCACTTTCACTTTCAGCATCCTGTTTTTTCCCCTTTGTCTTTTTTTTCTTTTTATTATCATCATCACTTTGGTCAACTTTCTGTTTTCCTTTTCCCTTCTTTGTTTTTCCTTTCTTTGGTGATTCTTCTTCACTTTCACTTTCTGATTCTTTTTCCTTCCCTTTATTTTTCTTTGGTCTTCCTGGCTTTCTTTTCTCAGTTTTAGGAGAGTCCTCCTCACTTTCACTTTCAGAACTGTCTTCTTTCTTTCCTTTCTTTTTCAAATTGTCTTTCTTTTTCCCTTTTATCGGTGAGTTTTCTTCACTTTCATCATCAGCGTCATTCTCCTGTTTTTTATTTTTACTCAATGATCGTCCTTTTTTCCCTTTTTGCTTTGGCGTCTCTTCATCACTATCAGAATCGTCTTTCACTTTTTTACCCTTTCCTTTTTTGTCTTTTTTATTTGTCTTGTTTTCTGACTCACTTTCAGATTCTTGATCTTTGACCTTTTTAGGTCTACCCCTCTTTCTTTTAACTTGTTCATCTATTGTGTCAACTTCATTCTCACTTGAAGTTTCTTCCTCCTCATCTTTTAACAAGGACTTTGGCCCTACTTTCTTTTCCACCTAAAAATATAGAATATAACATCAATGGCAAGACTTCCTTTTGACGCCTCCTTATTATGTACATGTATGTCTATGCTTATTCTGCCACCATAGGTTGTTCTACAGGAAGTCTTTCAACATCATAATTCCATTAAAGGCTGTTCTAAAATTATCTGGTGGAGGATGGGAGGCTCTCAAACTAATCAAATATGGATTGTCGTACTGTGGATTCATTTATTTCGTGGATTTAAGAAAACTTGCATTTTCGTGGATAATTGATTTCGTGGTTTTCCAAAAGTTGGCATAAAATCATACAGCAAATTTGCAATACCTTGAACATTCAAATTTGTGGTTTCCCTGTACCCAAGAAATCCACGAAAATTGATATCCAACGAATAATAATGAATCCACAGTATTTTCCTTAGAATTTTGTAAAAATAAATGTTGTCTTATGGGAGGTCAGAGTGTTCCAATGCCCACTTTAATTTTTAATTCTGGAATATCTATTACTTTTATTTTGGAAATTAGATGAATATCTTTGATACCAATTTTGATGTTCTATAATAATGGCAACTTAAAATAAAAGAGATTGGCAACTGTATTTAATGCTTATATAGTATATGATACAACTGACAAAATTAGGAAAACTTATCATTGACCAATGTACCATGAAAAACAAGGTCAAGGTCATATGACCCTGCCAGACAGACATGTACACCTTACAATCATTCCATACACCAAATATAATTGACCCATTACTCATAATATCTGAGAAATAGACCAAACCTCAAAAACTAAACATTGTCCAATGAACCATGAAAATGAGGTCAAGGTCAGATGAAACCTGCCAGGTGGACATGTATACAGTTGACCTACCGCTTATAGCTATGAGATAGACTTGACCACATATCTTGAACCTTGATCACTGATCTATGAAATGAGGTATCTGTATACAAGGTATGAAGCATCCAGGTCTTATACCTTCAAAAAACTGAAGCTTAATACAAATAGTTTACGTTGTCGGGCTGCCAGATTGTTATCCCTATCTGGCATTCTACGACTGTCGTCACAGGCTACACAAAAACTATAATATCAGACTGAACCTTAAAATATAGCCTGTTAACCTGTTTCATCTCCTCTTCCTCTTCCTCTGTTTTCTTTGGTCTTCCTCTTCCCTAAGTAAACAGAAGTTTTTTATATCACCTCTTAATCAAATAAAATTTGGCCGTTGGTCAATGTTTTAAAAAATAATTCTTTAGGTATGAAGAATTTAAATTTGATGCATGAACCATAAACAAAAAAAGTTACTTCACCCTCTCCCTTTTCTCTCTCAACTTAGACAAAACGAAAAGTGAATTGCATTTTCTTTCATTTAAGGTGGTACATAACACTACAGGGAGATAACTCTGTAAAAATCAGTTTAATGTTTTAATCACATTCTAAAGATAAGGAAATATTAAGCTTCTCAATGATCAAAATTAGTGTTTGTTAAACTGCTATATATCCAATGAAATTTTTCCGATAAAGTGTGTGGTTCAAGTTTTTTAAAATTTTTATATTTTTGTAAAAGGGTCAAAGTAAATATGTTTGTCAAAATTTTATGAGAATTAAACGAGCCAAATTAATTTAAGTCAAAGGTGTTTTGTACCACCTTAATACAGAAAAAGATGTTCAATCCATCAACATTATAAATGAAAATAATTATCTATTATAAGGTAAATTTTGTGTATTGGGTAAACTTGGTGGTGTGCACATTTGACTATATGTTATATTGTATGGTAACCTCTAGATGTCTATGGCTTAATTGTGTGGTTAGGTTGCAATTTCTTTGGCATATATCCAACAAATCCTATTTTTTTATAACGGCAGTGACCATATGTTGACCACTGGCTATGGATGTGAAGAAGGAATAACAAAAATACTGAACTCCAAGGTAAATTTAAAAAAGGGGGATCCAGAAAACCGGACAAAATAAAACGTTATCAACCAACGGAACAAATAGAAAATAACTGCCATATTTCTGACTTGGTACAGGCATTTTCTGAAGAAAAAAGTATATTTCCTAAATTAATTTATTTCTTTTCAAATATATAGCTTTTCAAGCATCTAAACCAATCATTTTTATCTCATAACCATGATTATACACACATGTATCTATGTATATTCTACATTTATTATAAATCAGAGTAAAATAAATGGGGAATGTGTCCATGGGACACAGATGATGCCCCCGCTTGCATATCATATAGTTATAAAGGGACATAACTGAAGAACGGTAAAAGTGACGCTACCCAAATTTGTACTTGATCTGAGTTTTGCGTAATAAGCATTGTGTATAAATTTCATAACATTTGGTTGAGGCAAACTTAAGTCAGCGAATGGAAATGAAAAATTCAGCAATTTTTCCCTTTGTAAAGGGGCATAACTCTAGAACAGTAAATGTGACACCACCAAAATTCGAACTTGACCTGTATTTTGTAGTAATAAGCATTGTGTATAAGTTTCATAACATTTGGTTGAGGCAAACTTAAGTAAGAGAACGGAAACGAAAAATTCAGCAATTTTCCCATTTGTGAAGGGCATAACTCTAGAACGATTAAAATGACACCACCAAAATTCAAATTTGATCTGTATTTTGTGGTAATAAGCATGGTGTACAAGTTTCATAACATTTGGTTGAGGCAAACTAAAGTTAGAGAAAGGAAACCCAACTTTGGGACGTACGGACGGACAAGGGTAAAAATTCATGCCCCCTTCGCTTCGGCGGGGGCATAAAAAATATTTACTAAATTTTGCTAGCCTAGTCTTTCCAAATCAATAGCACCCACTAATCAGTCATCTGTATTACCTTTGAAATAATTTTAAGACCGAAACCAAGAAAATTTACATAAATATGTGAATGCACATATGAATATGCAAAGTGTACTACTGGGGCTGTTCCATTAAAACATACATGGTACCCAGGGAAGGCACTTTAAAAATGGGGTAACTACCTATAGAGGCAAAATAAATTTCACTTACATTTCCACTATGTTAAAACATAGATGACACCCACCCATAGTTGAGATTTGGAAGTGCCTTCCCTGGGTCCCATGTATGTTTTTGTGAAACAGTCCTAAGGTCTTTTCTAACCTTCTTTGAGGAGAACTATAAATAACAATTCTTCCATGTATTGATTTATATTATCAAACCTACTTAAGAGACCACCTGTGTTATAAGACCATTCATTTTAGATCCCCCTGTAGTGCATTTTATATAGATTGAACATGTATTTAAAGACCGCTTGTCTTATGAGACCACTGTTTTGCTCTCCATTAAAGTGGTCTCTTAAAACAGGTTTCACAGTATTTCTATTTAAGTACCCTTTTTGGTGTTTCATCTTGACCATCACTAAATTGTCCTGAATTCAATGCATCCATTGCCTCTTTTTCTTTCTGTATATTTTCTTGCCTAATTTTTTCTGCCATTTCTCGTTGTTCGTTATCACTTATTCTATTGGATCGTCTACAAAAATAATAAATCATTTAGCGTAAAAGATATTCGCTACTCTGTTTCAAAATAACAAGCTTTTTAAACGACTGTTATAAATTGAAAGTATATAAATAAAGGAACTAAAAAAGCAGAAAAATTGAAGGGTCTGTGTGCTTGTTTTTTCGAGATGTAAGCCATTGAAAATTTGGCAGGAAATGATTCTCTCTAGATTTTTCATACATAAATTTAACATTGGCACCTTTTTTCTTTTAAAACCTATGAAAAAATAACAAGGATTTTATAAGATTTTCAAATTTGGCATTTTAAACTATATGTAAAAAATTTATGAAAAGAGAAGTAGGTGTTAGCGGGCAAAATATTTATTAGCACTACAAAGATAAAACCTGAGGATTCCGAATATCTGATAAAAATTCAAAAACAAAAGGAACGAACATCCTTAACACAGAGATATGTTGTGCCATTAAATATCATCAGTGAAATTAGGGGTGTGGTAAAATAGATAAATCTAAAGCAAAGTTTCCAAAATTCTTTGAAAAGAAAGGATGCTCAATGGATAACACAAGAACACACTCCCATGAAACACTAGTTATAATTAATTAAACAAAATAGCTGTGTTGTGGAACGGATTAGCATGAGACCATCCTTCTATCTAATACTAGAAAATGATTAACATGGTTAATGAACAAAAAAAGCAGCATTAATTTATCAAAATTGCAGTGTTGGGAAAACTATTAGCGTGGAGACCACACTCCATTGAAAAACTAGCAGTTAATTAATTGTATTTCAAAGGAACAGTGTTGTGGAATGTATTAGCATGAAACCCCACTCCCATAAAATACTAGCAAATAGTAAATCATTCAAAAGAACAGTGTTGTTGGTTGTGGATTAGCATTATACCACATTATAATTACATGAAATTTTCGAAAAAATAATTAATTGATCAATATTGCAGTGTTGTGAAATGAATTAGCATAAGACCCCACTCCTATAAAATACTAGCAAATAAATATAAATTAATCTACGGAAAGAGCAGTGTTTTGGAATGGATTAGCATGAAATCACACTCACATGAAATACTAGCAAATAATCAATCAAACAAAAGAGACCATGTCATATATGTTGAGAAATGGATTCGAAAGAGACCACTCTTCTATGAAATTATTAGAAATAAATAATTAATCAAAAGAGATATGCTGTGTAGTGAATTAGCATGACACTACAGTTACTAGCAAAATATCAAACAATCAAAAGTGCAGTGTTGTGGAATAGATTAGGTTGAAACCACTAGAAAACTAAAGACTTAGCAACACCAACCCCAACAAAAACCTGTAAATAACCAATTAATATATCAAACAAGAATGTGTCCATAGTACACGGATGCCCCACTCGCAATATCATTTTCTATGTTCAGTGGACAGTGAAATTGGGGTCAAAACTCTAATTTGGCATTAAAATTAGAAAGATCATATCATAGGGAAAATGTGTACTAAGTTTCAAGTTGATTGGACTTCAACTTCATCAAAAACTACCTTGACAAAAAATTTAATCTGAAGCGGTACAGACAGACAGACGGACAGACGAAAGAATGGACGGACGGACGAACAAACAGAAAACATAATGCCCCTAGGTGTGGCATAAAAAGCATTCTTTTTATTGCTTTCCTTCATCTTTATAATAAACTAGATCACACATTACAACAAGATCTGGATTTCTCATCTTAAATCCGACAGGATTTTTGTATTGGTAACTACATATGTATAGTTGATATGCATTATTCACTTGTAAGTCAATAATTCAACCCTAGGTGAACCCGTATTCATGTAATCCTAACTTGACCTTTAGCTGAAGATGGCTTACCCATGCCCTAAACGTGTTTAGTTTATTAGAAAGATAAAAGGAGAATGTGTCCCCATGGACACAGATGATGCCCCCACTTGCATACAACATTATAAAGGGACATAACTCAAGACTGATAAAAGTGACGCTACCCAAATTTGTACTTGATCTGAGTGTTAAGGTAATAAGGTAATAATGTTTGGTTGGGGCAAACTTAAGTTACAGAACGGAAACTAAAAATTTTGCAATTTTTCGATTTATAAAGGGGCATAATTCGAAAATGATTATAAAAGTGACGCTACCAAAATTCAACTTGATCTGTGTTTTGTGGTAAAAAGCATTGTGTATAAGTTTCATATCATTTGGTTGAGGCAACTTAAGTTAGAGAACTGAAACTAAAAATTTTGCATTTTTTTCCATTTATAAATGGGCATAACTCAAGAACGATTAAAGTGACACCACCAAAATTCAAACTTGATCTGTGTTTTGTGATAATAAGCATTGTGTATAAGTTTCATAACATTTGGTTGAGGCAAACTTAAGTTAGAGAACGAAAACTAAACATTTTGTAATTTTTCCATTTATAAAGGGGCATAACTCTAGATCTAGAACAGTTAAAGTGACGACACCAAAATTCAATCTTGATCTGTGTTTGGTGGTAATAAGCATTGTTTATAAGTTTCATAACATTTGGTTGATGCAAACTTAAGCTAGAGAACGGAAACTAAAAATTTAGCAAATTTTCCCTTTATAAAGGGGCATAACTCTAGAACAGTTAGAGTGACGCTACCAAAATTCAATTTAGATCTGTGTTTTGTGATAATAAGCATTGTCATGATTGTGTATAAGTTTCATAACATTTGGTTGAGGCAAACTTAAGTTATAGAACAGAAACTAAAAATTTTGTAATTTTTGCATTTATAAAGGGGCATATATATATATATAACTCTAGAACGGTTAAAGTGAAGCCACCAAATTTCAAACTTGATCAAACTCAAGTTAGACATGTTAGAGAACGGAAACCAATTTTGTAATTTAAATTTACGTTTTGGTATATTAGAATCAAATACATGTATGAGAATTTAAGTCAAATCGGTGATCATGAATTTGACACCTAATGCCCCTTTAAGGTTCATCATAAACTTTGGTCTAATATGGGCGTATTTACACCACAAATTTTACTATGAGTACAGACAAACCTGTGCACCTGGAAAATTTTAAAGGCATGGCAGGAACTAGATAATTAAATTTTTAATGCATTTATTGTTTCAGAAAGTTATAAACTTTTCTGAATTTTGCTACTCTTTTTTTTTCATTCCTGCAGAAGGTTCAAAAATAAACTAAGTTTGAAACGAGGTTTGAGAAGCTCCCCTCATATAATAAATGTTATGAGTAGTATTGATATAAATGGACAATAAATGGACAATAGACGATCTGCAAACAAAAGGTAATTTAAACAGTGTAACTGAGTGGACCATATCAAATGAAACTCATGTGTTTGTTTATTTTGCTATCTTCTGCAGACTTGGAAAAAATGCACATCAAAATCTAGATAAGTTTTTAATTTTCTGAAACAAAGACTACATATAACTTTTATATATCTAGGTCCAGCCATGCCTTAAAACTTTCCTAGATGCATCAGTTTGTCTGTACTCAAAGTAGATTTTGTGGTGTAAACACGGCCATTTTTCAATTCCTTTTGATGAACCTTAATAGTAAAGCAACAATTCTGCCAAAGTATTACCATGATTACCTAACTTATATACCACTTACAATTTCAAATACTTTATCATATTATTTATAATCAAAGAGAATAATTCAGTTCAGGTCTATGGTCAATTTGGAACATATTATCAGAAACCTTGCAGTGCTTAGATATCAAACACACCTTATGTACATGTAAGTGTGATTATTTGTCCAAAAATGGGGTCAGTTAAAAATTCATGACTTTATAACCTTATTACCTATCAATATTAATTCCTAAGAGATGTACATCTTGGAAATATCCATAAAAATGTGTCCTCCACATTTAAAAACATTTATTTACTTGTATGCCACATGTGAGAGACCTAGATTATGACAGGTCATAATCTAGGTCAAAGTGGGTTATTCCATTTTCATCTAAGGGTACTGCTTGGAGTAATTTATCTCCCTTGATAAATTGCAATTGGTTTTATAAATATATAAAATAAGCCAACTTTTCCCTAACAAGCTGGAACACTATATTTGTAGAACTTTTTTTGCTAATTTATAATTTTTATAGAAATAAAGAAGAACTATTTTTTCAATGCTTAATATATTAATAGTCATTAAATGACTGGTTACAGTAAGAAATAAAAATGGAGAATGTGTCCATGGGACACATATGATGCCCCCGCTTGCATATAACGTTATAAAGGGGAATAACCTCGAAAACAGTAAAAGTGACATAACCCAAATTTTGAACTTGATCTGTGTTTAGTGGTAATAAGCATTGTGAATAAGTTTTAGAAAGGAAACCAATTATGGACAGACAGACAAGGGTAAAACTTAATGAACACTCCGGTGATGGCGGGGGCATAAAAATATGCTAGATTTGCAGCTAACAGCTAAAAACCTAAAAATGAGTAGAGATGAAGGTCACACTTTCTAATGAATTTAGACTGAAACATTGTATTATTTGTATTAATATGTTAAATATAATGTGGATTCATTGATGTTTATTAGGTACTTATTTTCCGTGGATTCAGAGGGTATAGGTGAACTGTTCAATATAATACAAATTACCCACACCCTTGATTGCAGTATTTGAAATCAAGTATCCACAAAATTACATTTTTTTTTCAATCTACTTATATTAATGGTAACAAAAATATATGAATCAACAGTAATTGGATTGGAAGGAATCAATTTGAACTTCATACTTCTGCATTGTTGGTGATTTTTTAACTCTTCTTTTCATCCCTCAAGTATACAGTGCAGAAGAAGGCATAACATGAGGTTTTGTCACCAAGTCATAACAGGAAAGTTGAAAAGGGGATAATTGAATTGAGTCTGATTCCCAAATGAATCGCATAGACAGTTTCTCATTATTAAAATAATCAAAGGTTCAGATCTTGACCAGTTTTTATTTTTACCTGTTATTAGAATTCCCAAGAGGAATTTCTCCAAAGTTTTTCCTTCCACGACCTCTGCCTTTCCCACTTTTTGTTTCTTCTTGACTGATTTCCACGTCATTACCAACGTCTGATACAATCATAACTTCATCCTTTGCCTGGCCCCTTTTCCTTGGCGATGGCATCTGAGACTGGGGAGAGGCAACAGGAGGAATTGTTACACGTTTAACAGGTATGGCATAAGCATGATCAGAGAAATGAGGGTCTAAACCTGAAAGATCTTGTGCTTTAGTCTGAAAAATTTAATTAATACATGTATAATAATATAAGGAATAACTAATCAAGCCCATGTCAGAGTTGAATTGAATCTAATCATGAAATTCTTTTTTTCGTTCTACTAGTATACATATTGAATTTTTAAATGTACATATCTTTTTTTATCACATTGAATTCTAATGAAAGTATCTTTTTATAGACTTGATAAGGGACTTTTCTTTTTGAATTTTCCTTGGAGTTGGGTAATTTTTTTATTTTACTTTTTTTTTATTACATTGCTGTTTTAATGTTAATGTCTTTTTTATAACATTGACTTCAAATGTATATATGCTTTTTTATAGCATAGATTTTAAATGTAATTCTAATATGACGTGCTTCTTTCTCTTTGTAAACAAAACAGTGATAAAATTCTCGATATATCTATACTAAGCGCAGACTCAGAGATATCCATAATAATGGATGTTACAATATACCTCCCTCGTAAATCCACATGTATTGGAACCTATTTGCAAACGCTATGCCGATTTTATTGTTTTAAAAACTGCAATTGAAAAAAAGACTACAGAACTTTTATTCTTATTCGGATGCATAGCAAAAAGAATTAATGCACAAGAGCTCGGAGAAATCTACAAAATCAAAATAAAATAAAATTCCGCGAAAGTCAATTAATGCTTTTGGCCCATTTAAGTCATTTCAAAACACGACGTCATACAAATGAAAACGCTAAAGCTGAAGGTTTTTCCGTTACGTGAACCATCGAAATTCGTATAATATTACATTAAAATGGATTTTTGAGGTAGGTGTTGTTTTATTTTCTATTTTATTGCATTATTCGCATATTTACTGATTTCAGCAAGTCAACGTGGCGGCTCCTTAGTTACTAAATGTCAACTCTGGATTTGACGGTAGCTTACGAGAAAAAACATGTAAATTAAAAATGGCAAATGTTAGTTTTGAGAATTAAAAGAATTACAAAATGAATTAAGCACATTTTTTCTAGCGGTTGATTATGAAATAATTCATGCAAGCTACAGATTTATTAGAATGTTTTAGCTTTATCTAACAGAGAGTAAAAAAGAACAGCCACACACACGGCATACCCACCCTCGCTTCAGTTTTTTAATGACCGTATTTGTCCTATTAGAATCGAAATAATTCATGGAAGCCATAGATTTGTTGTAAATTTACACATGGCCGGACCGTGATATTCATTAATTTTATCCCTCGCTAACGCTCAGGATAAATTTCGAATATCACGGCCCAGGCCATGTGTAAATTTCCAACAAATCTATGGCTTTCATGAATTATTTCTTAAATAAACTGTTGACACAGAGATATGTCTTGCCTTTTTGTAATTTTGGTAGTATAATGCAAAACGTTCAAAGTCACTGAACCATTATTTAATGTGCAGGACTAAAATAACCTCCATGAAAATGACAAACAGCATACTAAATACTACTGACTTATCATATTTACATTAAAGAAGTCACAATGTAAAAGTTTCAAAGTCAATGAACCATGATGAGAGGATGGGGCCATATAATCTCCATGGAAAAGAGACTAGCAAATGCTAATACAACTGCATACCGAATAGCATTGACATAACATTAGTGGTTCCTCTTAAACTTATCTAATTACAAACTTTGTCATGTAAACTATGAAAAACATTCAAAGTCAATAGACCATGACTAAGGGGGTGGGGCCAAAAATCTCATTGGAAATGAGATGTGCCAATCGAGGTTCTGGAAATTTTTTCACACAATTTCGGTCCTTTTGAGATGACTTAAAAGTTAGTGTCCTTTTTTCAAATTGTCCAAATCACACTCAATTCATAGCATCAAGGAACTTGTATTGACTGTTTCAACGCATTTACTTCATGAATTTACTTACCATTTTTCTAAAAACGTTCAAGAACAGTTTGGGGAAGGCAACAGTTTAAAATTGAAATGATTTTAATGTCTCAAAATGGTAAATTTCTCAGACATCGCTAACATTTCTTTCGATTTTGAAGAGGAAATTAAAACCGGTAGTTTTGCGACAATACTAAAGTACGAGAAATTCTGGATTCATTTCCGGGATTCGTTTTGTTTATCAAATTGACAGGAAATCACCAGCTTTTTAAATTTTAATACCTTTAAAAGTGTTTGAAATTAATTGAATATAACAGATAACAATTGCACTCGTTTAATATAGCATGAAATCATTTTGCATTTTACGATTAAGTGTCTAATCCGCCGAAGACAATTTCACGCAAGCATATTTTATAGTAAATAAAGCACATGTGTAACTTGTGAAATTAAGTTTTAATTTTTAAATCAGAATCGACGATTGTCTTTGACCATAAGTAATTAAATAATGAAGACAGTTTTCATGGAAATTTTACTTCTTTATGATATTATATTAGTTCTGAGCTTGTGATCAATATCAGGTGTGATTTAAAAACACAGGTAAAAAGTTATTAGCGATCATTAGCCAATATTTCCTGGAGGCATTAATATAGTTATTAGGACCCTCAGGATTATCATACTATACTGGAGTGGCAGTTTTATTACAGGAAAGGGATTACAAAACAAAAACAAGCACAAAATGGCGATTAAGAAACCCAGTCTCAATGAAATGACAGAAATTATTTCTGTAGAAAAATAAAATTTGTCATAAATCCAGATCTGCCGTTTAGGACAAATAGCTTTCAGTTTAGGTCATGACTGGCAAATATGACTGTTTCCCGACCCTTGGTGCCAATGCTTATGCATCTACATACCAAATACCATTGACCTACCACTAGTGGTTCCCCATAAACTGACTTAATCGCAAACTAATACATGTAAAGTAAAAAAAAGTTTCAAAGTCAATAGACCATGACTGAGGGGGCTTGGCCAAATAATCTACATGTAAATAAATAGTGCCAATGCTAATACAACTGCATACCAAATATCATTGCCCTACCACTAGTGGTTCCCCATAAACTGACCTAATCACAAACCAATACATCGTTGATGCCACCAAAGGCTTTGGAAACAGCATACCTAAGCAGGCCTGGGGCCATTACATTGCAATGTAATGCATTACATTACAATTACTTTGTGATTCTTCCATTACAATTACAATTACAATTACATTTTTTTTCACATGTAATGCATTACATTACAATTACTTTGCCTGTGTAATGCATTACATTACACATTACTTTTTCAATATAAAAACATTTAAAAAACAGATTTTTATAAGAAATTGATAAATATTACCGGGGTATATGTACATATATATACAGTGTTAGTGACATAGACTTCAAATACTTGAAAAATAAATAAATTATCATATAATTTTGTTTCTAACATTGATCACTTAATCATTAAGACATCATAAAGGGATTTCAAAGGGATATAATAAATGTGCAATTAAAGGATTATCTTGTTAAATGCCTAAGGGCTCTGTGAGGACAAACATAATTTGAGAAGATTTGATTTCATCCAAACATTCTGATATTAATTAGGTAAAATAACAACCACAGCTTGGTGTAAAAATGTTGATTGACATATTCAATCTTTCATTGAAATACATGTAAGGTGTGTATAGAATTATGAAAATTTCATCTTCATATTTTGTCCATTCGTCTATATAGTTTTGTTTAATAATTATTTTTAGAAGATTTTTTAAGGGCAAACTTTCTATAATGATTTAATACAGTAATTAACTGTGAAAATAATGATATTCAATATTTTCTTTTGTTTTTGTTAATATTTTCTTTTTATTTTACTATATTCTTCAATTCTATGTATTTTACCAATTTGTAATGAAAAGTAATGTACATTAATGGAGGCATTACATTGATTTTTAACTAAAGTAATCATTACATTACATGTAATTGTAATGCAGAAAATGTGCATTACAAATTACTTTGCATTACATAAAAAAAATGTAATATTACAATGCATTACAATTACAAATTACCATTACCCCAGGCCTGTACCTAAGTCTCGCTTTTGACTCTGTCAAGGCAAGGCAATAAAGTAAAAAATGCGAGGAATTAGATCTTTTCCTAGGCATTCTAACTGTGTACTGATGCATTATCATTGACAGCACCTACTCTTATAGGATATCATAGGAGTAATAAATTAAAGAATTATTTCAGTGAAATATCTGGGGTTTTTTTACTGGGAAATCTAGGTATTTCATTTCATTGTGGTAAAAGTTCATTGTTATATCTTGGAAATAATCCTCTTCTACATAAGTTAAATCTGAAACCTTTGAATTCTGTGAAAGAACAATAGTTTTAGTAACTTCCTGTCAGAATTTTGGAGTAAATTCAGGATAAGACAAGTGTATGGTTGTGATAAGTCTGGTCTCCTGTAGCTATTATATTGAAGTAACTTCCAGTCAGATGTTTGGAGTAAATCAGGGTAAGACCAGTGTATGGTTGTCATAAGTCTGGTCTCCTGTAGGTATTATATTGAAGTAACTTCCAGTCAGATGTTTGGAGTAAACTCAGGGTAAGACCAGTGTATGGTTGTCATAAGTCTGGTCTCCTGTAGGTATTATATTGAAGTAACTTCCGGTCAGATGTTTGGAGTAAACTCAGGTTAGGATGAGCGTATGGTTGTGATAAGTCTGGTCCCCTGTAGGTATTATATTGAAGTAACTTTCAGTCAGATGTTTGAGATTAAGTATTGGGCAAAAACAAAGGTATAATGGTCCCTCTTAAGCTTGTGTTCAGAAAATTCTAGTGAAAGGGATAATAATAATGTTATAATGCCACGAAGTAAAATAAAAAGTGGACTGCACAAAATAATAAGATAAATGCCTTGGTTTTATATAGACAACTTCCTACCTGCTTCACAATGATAGGACTATGAACATGCTCTGACTGATCAAAATGACTCACGTCAAATATGTTTATCAAGTCCTCCGGCTGATTTCCTATCACATCTGTGTCACTTTCAGGTGACCCTGACCTCTGACCTGTGTTGTTGTAAGGTTCTACAGTGGTCTGTTGTAGGATCTTCTGAGCCTCTTCGGTGGACAGGAAATCATCGAGTCGACTCAGATGTTCCTCAGAAAAACTGCTGAAAGGATTCTTTTCTTGCTGTAAAAAATTCCAAGATCCATATTAAAGTTGGTGAAACAAACTGAAGATTTTCTTTACTTCCGCTGTTCCTCTTTACAATACATATATATATTCATTGTATCATGTATATATATATATATATATATATATATATATAATTGATAGTTCAATAAGTGATCACAGATCATTCAAAATATGAAACGATGTATGACATTAACATGACTATATAACTTCCAACCTCTTGCAACTACATGTATGGTTTTTGTCAGAAAATTGTAGTTTCAACAAAATGCAAATTTCATATAGAAACCTCTATAGATTTGATAGAACCCACAAAAAAATATCCACAAAAATTTGATTTTTCTCCAATACATGAAAAATAAATTAAACCAATAATATGCAATTTTTGGACCACATGTCGAACTCTTTACTCCGATGAAAAACTATCAATATGTGGATTGACATAACAATTTTATAAATAATTCCAGCCTTTATTTATACCTACACCTAGACCATGTAGACCCTCTAATGGTATTTATACCGACACCTAGACCATGTAGACCCTCTAATGGTATTTATTCCGACACCTAGACCATGTAGACCCTCTAATGGTATTTATACCGACACCTAGACCATGTAGACCCTCTAATGGTATTTATACCGACACCTAGACCATGTAGACCCTCTAATGGTATTTATACCGACACCTAGACCATGTAGACCCTCTAATGGTATTTATACCGACACCTAGACCATGTAGACCATCTAATGGTATTAATACTGACACCTAGACCATGTAGACCCTCTAATGGTATTTATACCGACACCTAGACCATGTAGACCCTCTAATGGTATTTATACCTATACCTAGACCATGTAGACCCTCTAATGGTATATTTATACCTACACCTAGACCATGTAGACCATCTAATGGTATTTCGCCAATGTGCTCCACATCACTGGGATCTACATCCAAAGCTGTTGCTGAAGTTACAGGAAGTGAACTTTGAACTATAGTAATGACTCGCTCTGACGTCTGGCTGGATTCAGTAGACATCACACAATGGAGTTTTTCTAAAAACGAGACAAAAAAAATCATTAAAGCATAACAACCTTATACATGTTATATATACATTCCATTTATTTTGAAATACATAAGAAGTTAAGTATCCCTAAATCCTATTGAACATTTTTTAAGCAAAAAATATTTTTCTTCAAACCATGCTACCAGCCTTTGCTCTTGGGATTGGTACTTAGTGTCTTTTTACTGTTTGTTTTTATACTTAGTTCTGATCTGATGAGTCAAGCTATATTTGCTGGTCTTCATCTATATTTTTGTTATGGTTTTCCAACTGCTTTGTGTCACTGATGAGTGACTTAAAACTTTGTCGTAAGAGTTGTTAAATGATTTGATGTATTAAAATTTTGTTTTCTTTCATATCTTGGGCAGTCTACACCAAAATCTTTTCCAACTACTAGTCAGAAGACCAATATTCCTATATTTTTTTAGGTGTCTCAACAAAATTTTTCAAATACCTACTAGTCAGAATCAAATTTTACTAGTCTGGGGCATCGGACTAGTGGCTAATCATGCTAATGGTGCAGACTGTCTTCCAACAAGGCTGTTTATCCATTTTGTACGCGTTCAGAAGTCAGCATCCTTTTTGTCGGTATTTTAGGATACATGTGTCAGTAGTGTGAGGTAGCAAAGCGATGCAATCTGCTAGGGGGGTATGGGAGCATCCGCCTCCCACAGAAAATATTTCAATAATTTAAAGCCTGTGCCTGCATTCACACAGCTGTTTGAGTGATGTTTTGCACATACAAAAAAAAACCTTTATTTCTGAACAATCTGTACAAATAAACTGCTCTGTTCCTACCACTTTAATTTACTCTTTTTACATCAGTTTTCCCTTTGAGCTTCCCCTATGCGATCACATAAGGTGTCAAGATTCAGGTAAGGTCATACAGAAAAGCTTTCAGCAAAAGAAAGTATGGGAAGACAATAATTCAATATCAGAACAGCATGAGAGTTTATGGTAAAAGGTATATCCAGAAAAACAATTCAATGGCATTTAAATTTTTTCTGAAGATTTGGATAAAATAAACATGATAAAGATTTTCTTTTTAAAGTAAGTCTTATGTACTTGTACATGTAAGTTTTATCTCTGTAACCATACATTGCCATAAGACATGTTGCCTTCAGGTTCACACTTTCTATACGTTTATGCCCCTTTGAAAATTAACCTATGTCGGTTGGTCACTTAAACTCATAAATGGTAAGTCGTAGACACCTAGGACCTTTACCAATGATCATCATTTCATGACACCTTAAAAATGCCTCAGGGTCAAATTTGTAGGTTGACCTTGACCTTATACCTTGTTAAGGGATAATCTCAGAAACTACTATATTTACAGAAGTCTTGAATAGCGAAACATGTTTACATGTAGGTCATCAAGGCACAACTTTGTTATATTTTGACCAAAGAGATATGACCTCTTGTTAAGAAACATAAAAAAAAAAAATCCCCCCCCCAATTTTTTGAAACCCCTTATGATTCATCACCCCCAAACTCAATCCCAGCCTTCCCTTTGTGGTATGGTTCCTTGCAGTACAATTTCAGAGAGATACATACACTTGAACACAAGTTATTGTCTGGAAACTAGAAAAATGCTTGTTTTTTGGCCCCAAATTCCTAAACATTTAGGGTAATTACCCCCAAACTTACACCCAGCTTTCCCTTTGCATGCTTTGTGATATGGAACCTTGTAGTACAATTTCATAAAGATCCATACACTTACACACAAGTTATTGTCCTGAAACTAGAAAAATGCTTGTTTTTTGCCCTTTTTTGGCCCCTAATTCCTAAAATTTTGAGGCAATTATCCCCAAAATCAATCCCAGCCTTCCCTTTGTGGTATGGTACCTTGCAGTACAATTTCAGAGAGATCCATACACTTGAACACAAGTTATTGTCTGGAAACTAGAAAAATGCTTATTTTTGGCCCCTTATTCCTAAACGTTTTGGGCAATTACCCCCAAACTCAATTCCAGCTTTCCCTTTGTGATATGGAACCTTGTAGTACAATTTCAGAAAGATCCATACACTTACACACAAGTTATTGTCATGAAACTAGAATAATGCTTGTTTTTTGCCCCTTTTTTGGCCCCTAATTCCTAAAATTTTGAGGCAATTGCCCCCAAAATCAATCCCAGCATTCCCTTTGTGATATGAAACCTTGTGGTACAATGTCAGAGAGATCCATACACTAACACACAAGTTATGTTTGGAAGTTACAAAAATGCTTATTTTTGGTCCCTTTTTGGCCCCTAATTCCTTAACTGTTGGTACCATAACCCCCAAAATCAATCCCAACCTTCCTTTTGTGGTATTGAACCTTATGATCAAATTTCATAGAGATCCATTCACTTAAACTAAAGTTAGAATGTGAAAACCAATGTGTCTTCGGACGACGACAACGCCAACGTCATACCAATATACAACCGCAAATTTTTTTTGCAGCCGTTTTTTTTGCGGTCGTATAAAAATTGACAGAACCATGTTGCTTGCACAAGTCTAAGTGCATACCTGTCAACCTCTGAAAATGAAAATGCAGGTCATGACCTGCATTAAAGAAGAAAATCTCAGGTCAAACTGAAACTTTTTTCAGCTGAATTTTATGTATTTAGGGGACATTTTTTCATGTTCACATGTTTAAAAAACTTACTGAAAATAATTAAAAAATTTAATTTAATCTTTTCATTGCATGTAGTCAGGGGTACTACTTAAACAAGTGATTTCAGAATCACTTCTTCAAGTGATTTTGGCTGTGAAATATTAAAAATCTTCACAACAAGAATGCACACGCTGAAATGTCTCGCCTTCTTTACTAATCATTGATATTATGTTGATAGTCCTAAATATAAAGCTTTATTACAACTGTCACATAAACTTAACATTACCCAGGTAAACTAAACACTGAGCAATGAACCTTGAAAATGAGGTCAAGGTCAAATAAAACCTGTGTGACTGACATAAAGATCATAAAATATTTCCATACACCAAATATAGGTAAACTATTGCATATAGTATAAGAAAAAAAGACCAAAACTCAAAAACTTAACTTTGACCACTGAACCATGAAAATGAGGTCAAGGTCAGATGACACCTGCCAGCTAGACATGTACACCTTACAATCATTCCATACACCAAATATAGTAGACCTATTGCATACAGTATGAGAAAAACAGACCAAAACACAAAAACTTAACTATAACCATTGAACCATGAAAATGAGGTCAAGGTCAGATGACACCTGCCAGTTAGACATGTACACCTTACAGTCCTTCCATACACCGAATATACTAGACCTATTGCTTATAGTATCTGAGATATGGACTTGACCACCAAAACTTAACCTTGTTCACTGATCCATGAAATGAGGTCGAGGTCAAGTGAAAACTGTCTGACAGGCATGAGGACCTTGCAAGGTACGCACATACCAAATATAGTTATCCTATTACTTATAATAAGAGAGAATTTAACATTACAAAAAATCTTAACTTTTTTTTCAAGTAGTCACGTGCACTGAACCATGAAAATGAGGTCAAGGACATTAGACATGTAACTGACGGAAACTTCGTAACATGAGGCATCCATAAACAAAGTATGAATCATCCAGATCTTCCACCTTCTAAAATATAAAGCTTTTAAGAAGTTAGCTAACGCCGCCTCCGCCGTAGCCGCCGGAGCCTCCGGATCACTATCCCTATGTCGAGCTTTCTGTGACAAAAGTCGCAGGCTCGACAAAAATAGACACAGACTTTTAAAATCACTGAAACGAGTAATTTGAGAAGTTAAAATGTAATCACTTCAACAAGTGTTTATAACATTTTCTTGATATTGGTAAATAAAATGCTCCGCAGGGCGCAGCTTGATACGACCGCAGAGGTAAAACCCTGAACAGTTGGGGCAAGTATGGACACAACATTCAAGCTTGATACAGCTTTGCATTTGGATTGTGATTAAATATTTGACACAGCATAGGTTTCTAACACAGAATGAATGTGGTCTAAGAACTTAAAAATTTTAAATTGGACATTCACCTATTATGGTCCAATATCCAAAATCTAAATACATGGTTAGATTCAGCATATCAAAGAACCCCAAGAATTCAATTTTTGTTGAAATCAAACAAAGTTTAATTTTGGACCCTTTTGACCTCAATGTGGACAAAGTTGATAACGGGGCCCAAAAATCAAAAATCTAAATACATGGTTAGATTCAGCATATCAAAGAACCCCATATATTCAATTTTTGTTGAAATCAAACAAAGTTTAATTTTGGACCCCGATTTGGACCAACTTGAAAACTGGGCCCATAATCAAAAATCTAAATACATGTTTAGAATATCAAAGAACCCTAAGAATTCAATTTTTGTTAAAATCAAACTAAGTTTAATTTTGGACCCTTTGGACCTTAATGTAGACCAATTTGAAAACGGAACCAAAAATTAAGAATCTAAATACACGGTTAGATTCGGCATATCAAAGAACCCCAATAATTCAATTTTTGATGAAATCAATGAAAGTTTAATTTTAGACCCGTTGGACCTCAATGTGGACCAATTTAAAAATGGGGCCCAAAATCCAAAAACTAAATACACGGTTAGATTCAGCATATTAAAGAACCCCAAGAATTCAAGTATAAAACCCCATTGAAATTGGTCAAGAAATAAGCAATTTATACGAAGTATCTTCTTTTGCACAATACTGTGCAATTAAATATTTCTTGCTATTGCGCAATACTGTACAATTGACAATTTCTTGCTATTGCGCAATATTGTGCTATTGGATATTTCTTGCTATTGCGCAATACTGTGCAATTGAAGATTTCTTGCTATTGCGCAATACTGTGCAATTGAAGATTTCTTGCTATTGTGCAATACTGTGCAATTGAAAATTTCTTGCTATTGCACAATACTTATTATATAATAATTTACACTTCCTGTTTGGTGTTTATCTCCTACCATATCATTATTATTTGCTTTTAAATATAAATCAGAAATAACCA